AAAATTTTCACTATATATTGGCAAATTGCCACAAATACCCAAATACTCCGCTTCCTATCAACAGCACTGATATAGGTATTTGAACTATGTGACAATTCAATATGGCTGGAACTTCCCTTTATATTTGATATATTCAATTACCTTTTGAGATTTTTGTTGTTTGGTGAATTTTTTTTAAATGGGTAGGCTACACGTGTTCCACAGTAGGCCTACACCACCTGTAGACACTAGAACTTAGATCTCTACAGACCCCGATTGGTTTCCAGAGTTCTATTTTTCATCCTTTGTTAATTAATGATATTAGTTATTTATATTTGATTACTCTTCTTCTACCCTTCTTGTACACTGAGAAATTCTCTTTAGTAATCATTGAAATTAATCTTTATTTTCACATTGTGCTATAATTGTTTATCATAACCCAAGGTTTATCCTATCTTTGTAAATCCAATATTTTATTTATTTATTTCCTCCATTTATATTCCTTTTCATAAACCATAATATTTATTCAAATATTCTAATTTGGTATAGTTACCACAATTTGTTCCATATTATTATTTCTCTAGCTAGACCCTTGAAAATTTGTTCTTAATATGCATGGATCAACAAACCCGATAACTGACTTCAATCATTAGCCCCCTGTGATTGTGCATTTTTTTATACTTATTCAAGTGTATAATACTCTATAATTAGCCGTTACACACATAGTCATCCAATACCTGTGAATCTTATGCATAACAGTGAATATGGAGGAAGCTGACTTGGATATGGTCGTATCGCTCCCTCCAGTCTTTACCAGAAACAGTGTTTTATTTATTTGTAGTTATGCTTTTATATTTGTTTTTGTTGACGAATCAATAAATCTCTCTCTCTCTCTCTTGTTTTCGCATGCTATTTGTTTGTTTTCGCAAAAGTTTCGAAAATTTCAGTACGAATCAAATAATGATTATTCTGTCTTCTTATTTAGTTTAATTGTTGCTGATCAGAAATTAGTCTAGAGATAACTGTGACAGACCAGGCTGAACTTTTCTACAGGTATTTTGAATAACAGGGTTGCATATTTTGAATTAAATGATTGTTTGTAACCTATAAACCAGTTTTTTAAGGTGCTAACTCGCGAAACCACTTTTAGAATGAGCACCAAAACTGTTGCAATTCTAGAATATAGGAAGAATTTTTGTGGAGACAAGGGTCGAGGAAACATCCATTGTTGACTCACCATCATCACTGTCAGTTATACAAGGCACACACACAATGTCAGCTTCTAATTAAATAAAAGCACATTGGGGAAAACATGTATAATTGCGCTTGCCCCCCGCTAGGCACGGCACTGTGTGCACTTCATGTCGAAATACTGTAACCGTTTTTAATTCTTAACGAGAGATAGTACCGTAAATATATACTACTACCCATGTAAACCACGCCATGCTACCGCGAGATTTTGTCACGTGACGGCAACTAACACATCCGGGGCTCGTCGCGCAAGCCTAAGGAATATGCCCGACTCGCGGGTCGTTAGTCAGCTAAATATTTTTGTGTTTGTCGTCTTTGTGCTTGCTTAGTATTAAAATGTTTGTTTTGATTGAGTTTATAATTATGGGATCTATTCACTGGAACGCTGGACAAAATCGCTTAGCCTACCGATACCTAGCTTGGTTCATTCTACAGTTACGGTAGGTACGGTACCGGTACCGTATCGGTGAGACTAGCGACAGACCGATGTCAGGATGCAGGCGAATCACATCCCATGTGCCCTTGCCGCAAAGCCAGGCTGGATATGAGCTCTGCTAACATTGTACCCAACTGCCGAACCAAAAATCAGCATACCGGGTACCGTAGTTCCGAAATTGGCTGATGTCAGGATGTCAATCTCAGGATCCAGGGATCTCCAGCAACACACTGCTGCACTGAACACAATTAAGCAATTTGGCTATGATACGCTATGATACATGTACATTCAGACGTTTCCATAGGATAGGATTTACATATTTATCCCGGGGGAGAGGAAAGGCGATGAGACGGCTTAATTATATGGCGAACCACGGCCTCTCGTCCGGTTACCAGTCCAGCAGTCCAGGTCGGGTACGGTACCGGTACCGTAAAAGCGCCTAACTTCGGACAAAAAATTTAAATGGCCATATCTTGACTAATAAGCGTCGTATATTGCCAATTTTTATAGGTAGAGCTGTTAGGAATATATACATCTATTCTCAACCTTTTTAAAGTTGTATAACTATTTTTTTCTCGGAAAAACAGAAATATTGCTGAAAAATGACTGCCCGCTATTCAACGGCACAGAGCGTCCCTTCTACTTAAGCTATCATCGTCAAAATACCATCATCCGGTAGAGGGCAATAACAATGTATATAATTTATCAGAGTGATCGCAAGATGTCATACGAGATTCAAATAAAACATAAAATTCGGAGTTGTAAATTTCGTAAAATTATCGAGATTTCACGCTGCGTCAAAAGTTACGTCAACCTCGCGTAGATCATTTTTCACTGACTTCCGACACGACGTCACACTGCGTCGCGGAAACGAATTTTGACGCTCGACACAACAGCACCAAATTAGCAATTTCCGTTTAAGGTAAAGACGCATTCCAGTGTAATATTTCTGTATTTTGTTCGGTCCATGTGTGAACATATGCCAAAATCACATTAACGAGAATACGTTTTTTACGTAACCAATGTCGTCAAGATTCGAAAATATAAAACTAGAGAAATGCAATGTCCATGTGGCACTGTATACTGACGAAAACAACTATTTTACGCTTCGAAGTCAAAATCGATAGTTATTAGATACACCCGTGTGGAGAATTCATTTTATTATGAACCGAAATCACGGTACCTATCTCAATGTTAATTAGCGAAATTATATTGAAGATTAAACGTTACAATTGGGTTCGCGTTAAGTTTGATGAAAAATTAATTACTTAAAAAGATAACAGCGTAACATCAACAAAGCTATCTGTCGAGAATATTAATATTTCAAAGACTTACAAGCCGGTTAAAATGTTTCATTGTAGATTGAAACGGTTTGCATTAGATTAATTTACGTATGTTAATTCCTGATTTGAATGGCCAACGTGTTATTATACTGATCTGACGTAACTAAAATACCAAATAAATGCAAGGTAAACATTGGACGATGGAAATTTCAAATAATGCAATTCGCCACGCCGTTTCGATGTTACGTTACGACGCCGATCGAGCGTCTTATCTTCACGCAACGACGTGATTACGTCATTCGCGTCGGAAGCCTCTTTCTCTCTGTGCGTCACAGTTACGCAATGAGGAAAATGACTGTGCGAAGTTAGGGCAGTGAAGGATAATGTTCAGATGGCAAGAAAAAACGATTATTCCAATAGTAAAAATATTCTGATGGGCAAGAAATTTGCAGGGAATGTAACGTACCGCATCAATGTTTTACCGAGCAATTTTGGCGCAATTTGGACAATAAATGGTTGAGTTATTGATGGTAATATGGTAATTTTGTACGAAGTTGGGCGCTTTTATGGTATGGGATTAGTTAGCCAGTTATTTGTTTTCAGTACCGGTACCGGTATTCCTAGCGCTCAGCACGATGTGCCACACCGCTGAGCCGATCTGAACTTCGATACCTCTGATGCTCTGAACGTCGGATACCTCGCAGCTCCGGATGATATTCCAATTGTTATATCTTGACTAAATTGTGTTGTATTGTGCTCCTTGCGGTTTTTATAGTACAGTAGTAAGTCCTTATACCGATATCTTTGGTTCTGTTGTCATATTTAATTGCGCAGTCTGATTTATTTTATTTAATAAAAAATAACATTTTATCAAAAAAGTGACAATTTTCGAGCGGCTCTAATGTGACGCAAACTTCATCAAAATACCGTTATCCGGCGTTCTCATGCAAATCAAAATTAAACTGATTGCAAGATGCCGTAGGAGATTCAAGAAAAATCAAAAATTCAAATAAATAAATTTTATCAAAATATTTAATATATCAAATCGAAGCTGACGTCACATTGCGTCGCTGTTATAGATTCGATGCTAGACATGATGATATCTTGATTGATTTGGTCGCAATTGCTCAAATATAGACACGAACAGTTTCCTTCGGATCTCAAATTCAGAGCGTCGAATGTCGCAAATTTATATCAATTCAGATAAAAATATTGAAAATGACAATTAACAAAAAACGTTCTCATTAGCGATTTCAAACTACTCCACCTATTTGGCACTAAAACATAGTTCACATAGAAAAATTTTTGGACAGCCATAGTTTGGTCAATCCAATTTATATTTAGTGAATATATATGATATAACCAGCAACAAATAAAACATTGTTGCAAGTGAGTTTCGTTGTGAGGTGGTATGACAAATCCTTTATCGTGTTTTAACTTTTATTTTAAATCACTTTTCCGTGTTTTTGTTATCTCAGCTATGAAGGTATGAGTGAATATACCATAGTTTGTGATTTAAGAGACACTATGATCCAAAGATATGATAAGAGAACATGAGCGCAACTATTATTTCAGTGCTTGCCTACGTACAAGCTACAATTCATATGTTTTAACGTTTAATAATACCTTGATACCCTCCTGTTTTCTTACTCAGGACAATTCAAATTTCCAAAGTACCACAAATGTCATATGTTTTATTTATTTCTGCTTTACTATGATAATATTATTCAAGTTTAATTCCTATATCATTGAATTTTATAATTCAGCGATATTCAATGTTTTGTTGGATTTAGAATGTATTTGGAAACATTTTTGGGATGCATTCAATCTTGCCAATTGCTTTTTTAATCACTGCGGTAAAAAAAAATTTATTTAGGATTTCAATTTGGGTGTTTTTTGATTGTGCATTGTTTTAGTTTATTTCGCAGCCCATTCATCATTATATTTGAAGTCCTTGAATATCGCAAATTTCCCAGTATTTGCAAAGTATGCCTTACAGATATACCTTTTTACTGGTTCACATTTTTAATTTTCTTTCAATTAATTTACAGGATTTTAAGACTTTATTTTACTGTGTTGCCTGGTATGTTTGGGTTGACACAGATCACTACAACCATGCACTCCATTTTAAGAAATACTCCATCTTTCCGATGATACCCTATTGTGAAGGTATTATAAGTACTTTTGTACGAAGTACAAAAATTGAGAATATAAAAAATGCACGTTGATGAGCAGACATCATACTTCCTAAAGCCTACCATGACAACCAACACATTTTCTAGTATTCTTACCCACCAACCTACCATGCATCAGCATCTGCCAGTGAGACAAATGCATCAACCGTCTCAATCCTTATCACAGCGTGTGTCACACTATCATCAGGTCCATCAGGTCCATCAGCCAAGGCAAAATTGTAATGGTCATGGCCAGCAGGTATGGTAATTATGTTCTTTGAATTGTTACATAGCAGGAATAACTCGCAACTGTTTCATAGTGACATGTAAATAGTAGTAGTAAGTAATGAAGTAAAAACATATTAATGATAGCCATTTCATTACTGTTGGCCTGCCATCATATCATGTCTCGCAAGAAAAAATTTGCAATTATCAATGAAGCTGCCACAATATTTATTGATTCAGGTTTGTGTGTCAAAGGTCTATAGATCTAAAGCCTGGGGCTGGTGGTCAAAGAATATTCAGTACATTCTCTAAGTTGAAAGCTTTAACAACTTACCGTACATACCGATTAGAATGATATTCTAGCACTTTTCATGCTCTGTATTTTGTTCTTTAGAAAGGATTCAAGGTCGAGTCATTTTATGCCAATACTATATATCTTTATGAATTATTTTTATATGGTATGATGACCAATTTTGTCCGAGCAGTGGTTCCTTTATTTAAAATTGTATTTTCAGATGGCAGTGGCATCAAGTTCTCAACGACATCATAGTGAGAATACTCCAACAAAACATTCAAACAAAACTAAGAACACCGATCAACAAAGTTCTTCAAGTTCAAATGAAGGAGATTACAAACTAGTACAACATGAGGTGATTAAATTATATACAGTGATACTTAGGTAGTTTTATTTTGCCATGAAAAATAATGATATTTATTTTAATTCGTTCTCACATGCTATGTGCAATTCGTGTGTGCGATGACATCAAAAATTCCACACTGTATGGTGTTTTCTTCTTCGCGTTAGTCATGAAGATTGTCGTACCGGTAGGTCTTCACAGGGGCGCAGTCAGCTGTGGGGGGTTACATGGGTCGTAACCCCCCATTTGAGAAAATTTTTTCATGCTAAATTTTATCTGCAAAAAAGCAACAGCGTCGTTTTATGATCGCGCATTTCGTGGTCAAAACGATATTATTCAGTGTGTTATCACCGTAACGCAATTAACACCGCCAGATTTTTTCGTCTTCGTCTCCACGACATGTTATCTTTTTTTATTCGGCGCTGATAATGATAACTAAGAATGTGTAAATTTTAACCCAAAGCTCTGAGTATTCCAGAGATTCCTAATTTGCGGAGTTTTTTATTATTATTTAATACGAAAGCAACATGGACACGATCTAAAATTAAAAGCATAGAAATGTCAACTATCCGCTTCACAAATATCGCATCAAGGGGTCAATAATAATAATATTGTTCGCTTAAAATCGGTACCGTGATTTATAAACTGTGATGCAAATCCTACACAGAAGATAAAAATTGGTATAAAATTAATTATTTATTTAAAATTAATATTTGCCGTTGCGTGCGAATTAATATTTGCTAGCGAATAAATAAGTGCTTCAATACAGTTTAACAACATTAATGGGAGCAGCCGAAACAATCGCGGTGACAAAAAATTTACTACAGCTTTCGATTATGACAAAATTATAAAATAATAAACGCCGCATTGTTTCGGAGTTTTCAGTCTTTTAATAAAATCCGAAAAAAATATATTTACTGTCACGGCGGTCGTTACGGCCGCCGACATCCCAAGTAAAGTTGTTCAAAATGACAATACTAATTACGGTATTTGATGTTCGTTAAAAATATTTGAATAACTCTATTAAAAAATACGATTTTGCCCGGCCCTAATCACGGCGCATGTAAATAATCTTTGAATGGAAATAAAAAAATCAACTGCATTAACAATAAATTCCAAGTAATAGTTTCACATTTCATAAATTTGATCGGCGCTACATCCGAGCGTGGTTTTGTGCATATAATCCATTATGACACTACTGACATCTGTGAGTTATAGTTCTCTCTTCTCTCCAGAATTAATTTTCGCAATTTTTGATGTTTTATTCCTAAATGCGGGTACCCGCAGACTACGGATTAATTAATGGTCAATATTTGAAATAGAACTCGCAAAATATCCACCAAACACCGACGAGCAAAGAGAGGCGCGCTTCACGTAACTGGGGAATTTCACTGTGATCGACCATACGTTTTAGGTTATCATACACATTACGTCGTCGTGAATTACACTTTTGGTGTAATGTTTTAATTTCACCTTACCCTCCCGTCGAAAAAATCCTGGCCGCGCCCCTGGGTCTTCATGTCCATATATTTGAGCATCAGTCTCTTGTTGAGTGGTCAAGAGGCAGCGTCATCTCACTTGTCGGCCCACTCTGGTGTCTGAGCACCAAATTCCCATTTGAGTACCGCAGCATTTTTGACTAGAATTTTTTGGGCGTCTATGGAATTGTTTGAGTATCAAGTCGTTTGAGCTGTTCAAATTAATTTGTAGCAAGTAATTAATTTGTCGGAGCATTTATGAAAATCAGAGAATATGTCAAATGTAAAGTGAATTACAATGTTTTATGGACCATTACTGCTAATCTATCAATTCTATTCTAATTTTTCTCATGCCTATTCTAAGTAAATGATTTCTTATGTTGCTAATGGAGGCCTAATAATACAGCCTGTTCAAATAGTTTTCCTGTTTGATTGTTGTCCTTTTTGCTATTATTAGTAGAGTAGACTGAAATGAATAACAATCGGTACATATTTACAATCTCTGCTAAATGTTTGCCTTAATTTGAATATTTATAAGAACTTTATCTGATTATATATATATATATGCTTTGGAATAATTACTGGCAACTTTTCAAATATCAGGCACCTGTTCTGCATTGGATAAGAATCTATATGTTAAACTGTAGTGAATTTTGTTCATCTTTCACTTCTAAGTAGGAAGTGGTGTTGGGAACTATACATTTGTAACTTTCTTTGTGAAATGAATAGTGACTTGATTATATTATTCGAATGGCATATTGGAATATCTGGTAACACTAGACCCACACCACTTTTACACAGACCTTCACCGTTTTTACACAGAACTTGCCCTTCGCCGAATGAAATACTTGAACCCACAAGATTTTGCCCACACTTTTTGCGAACAGACAGAGATGTCAAAACCGATTACTCCTCTTGGCGATATGGGAGTTTGTTTCAGTGTCTATGATATTGTTTCAATTTTTAAATTTAAGCAAGTTGAAACAATTTTTGTTGGCCGACTTTGTAAGTTTAGAAACATTGAAACAGGGCAAGGTAATATATGAAAATTCAATGAGTTTTATATAAGGAAATATCAGTTTGACACATAGGAATCCCTTTATTTACAATTTTAATGGTGACTGCAAACGTGATTGGAATATGCAAGTCGAAAATATTCACTTTCTCGAGATAACAATGACAATATTGTTCACTTAAAGTTGGGAGCATTGACCCACAGTTGATTATGATGATATTAATAACTATCGGGTTTGTCTGACTGAACATACAGCTAAGTAAGAAATATATAAAATGAACGAAAGACATAATACTTTTGAAATAAGGAAAACTGTTCGAAAGATATCTTCCTGTGTTGGTTGTGAAGTAATAACGCCGACCAAAAACAATTAGCGATTATGAAAAAACTGAACCTGATTAATAAAAAAACATTTGCATTGTGCATTTTTAAGGATTGTTTCTGTCTGTTAGTTATTTACAAAAGAAGTCTCTACCCCCAGCATCCTGGCCTTGACTTAATTAAGCTGTAGATTAAAATATTCGATATTCATCGAAAATACTATTCCTTCCATTTATTATTATTCCATTCGATTCGGTATATATTCGATTTTGCCCACTCCTACATATCCCTTCATTACCAATGTTTATTCTTCGAAATGCTGTCTGATTGACATCATTCTAATTCTGGTTAATATTGATCTTGGATCGAAAATTTATTATTGGCTTCGTCACTTTTCTGGTAACAATATCATAATCAAAAAGACTGACTGTTGAATAATCGAGAGAATTTAAATATTGCTCAAATCCTACAATTTATGAATGTGGTTTTTGATTTAGGTTTGTGTATGCCATGATTTCTGTGGTTAGGATCACAAGTTATTAAGAGCTGTAGATTGGAAATTGCAGTTGTTATGAACAATTCTACTTTACAAAGACATTTCTCAAAGTCAGGTTTAGCTCTCGAATTTTATATCTATTCAGTGATGATTTTGAATAATACAATTATATTCAAAATTGCAGTCTGGAATTAAGAGTACCGGTAATTATATGATAAAGTGCTCACTTTCTTGCTTTATAGTTTCGGCCATTCTTTGTTGGTTAAATTATTCTGATGTTGGGTTCTGGCTTTTCGGCTTTAATAAGACTTCTTCCACCCTGGAAATCATTGAACTCTGATTGACCTGTCATAATAATCAATCTTTCTCAAACGGGATCTGACATGCTATGTTAAACTTCATTGATTCAATGTATAGTAGCTTGAATGGTTAAAATAAACTCGATCCGTATCTTAGCGAAATAGACTTTATCATGTACCTATTTGCAATTTTAATTTCCCCTACTGGACTGGGACAGTTATTTTTTTATTTGTATTCAAAATACACTACTTTTACATAGTGTTGACGCTTTCAGAATATTCAAAAACTGTATGATTCAAATATTTTGTTAGATTCACGTTAAATACCAAGTATACTCACCGATAGGTCACGCCACCGTACAGGGCGCACTATTAGTTTTGTGTTAAAAAAGTTTAATTTAGAGTTGACTCGCACATAAGTCGCACTGAAAATCTAGTTATTTAAAAGGCTCTTTCCCTAGCTTTTTTGCATAGATAACTTCGTATTTTTTTTTGTAGGGCTTATTAATATAATCAAAATATGTTTAATGACACCTGTGAGCGATAATAAGTGCATGTACCGATGTACGCAAGCGGGGACCATACGATTTTCATTAATAACCAACTTGCTACCAACCTGTATATCATTGTCAGTACATTCAGACCCTCAACCCTGTTTGAGAAATGACAAAAACATATACACACGTATATACTTATGTTAGGCGGATTGGTCCCACCCATCTTTTTTTTTTAAATTCAAGGAAAATGTTTGCGACCTATCTGCGAATGTATACGGGTCCATTCGATTTTGTAGTTACCTGATTTTGCATTGAATTTGTGGCAAAATATCAGAATTTTATATTAAATTATTTGAATATTAGCACACTGCAGTTCCGAAACATTTATATCCTGTATTATATTATGTCTTAAGCATCATTGTTGAAAAAAATAATAGTACTAATTTAAATTAATTCCCCAGAATTTATGCCTTTATTTCAATGCTTAGAAGTTCAATCTCTTATTAACTATTATCAAGCATTTACTTTCAAGAGGACTTTAATGTGATATGTTATCAATGATATATCATTGTGTATTTGAATATTACACAAGGACATAGTACATATTCTAAAGTTTTTTGTTCACAAAGACTATTATCATCTATGCAAAATATCAAATTGTCGCTGCATTGAAAATCCCGTATTTCTTCCATGGTCAAATTTAGTCTCAGAAATATGGGGGTGCGTATTATACATTGGTCTAGAAAATATCAAAAAATATTAATTCCCATTTTGTGCTTTAACTGATAATAATTGTCACGTTTATTAATCTCAAGTTCTTAATTTTATGTGGCAAAGTCTGTCAGTATCAGATATCATGCTTGGTTTGGTAGAAGCATACCCAGTTCAACAACAATTTGGTGTTGATAAAGGGGCAGAAAAAATGGTGAAATAAAGTGATAAAAACATGCTGTACATCCCTTAACTGCTGTCATTGGCGTCTGGAAACACGTCCTAATATTGAGCCTTGTCAGCTTTTAAAGGGGGAGGGACAAATAACTTTACAAGATACTTTAATGTCAAATCACATCATGATTGGCAGATGTTTCACAGGCAAATACATAAAACATATTACCAGATATATCTAGTTAACAAAAGGCAAGCAGACAGAATGCTTGAAACGTCCGGTAAAACACCTGCAAGACAAGAGAGGGCGGAATTTTGATATGCGTATTATGCATGAAGTTTGAAAAATTCTTGTTAAAAATGTACTAAAACCTGGGTGCGTATTATACATGGAGAAATACAGTAATTACAATTTATGGTAGAATATTGCAAATTGTCCCTAGATTTTTCGATATACAGTATATAGGCTATATATGTTTTTAAATATTTTTTTTTGCTTAATTTTATTTTATTATTATAATTACAGGTTTTGAGATCTTTGTCAAATGAATATGAAGTGCTAGAATTTCTTGGTCGTGGTACATTTGGACAAGTTGTGAAGTGTTGGAAGCATGGTACAAATGAGATTGTAGCAATTAAAATTTTGAAAAACCATCCATCGTATGCACGACAGGGTCAAATTGAAGTGAGTTCATAATTAATTAAATTAAACTACTATTGAACTACTTGTGCATTGTTGATACTCATGAAGAACATTTTTTAAACTAATTATTTTGATCATTTTTTCAATCAACAAAATTGTGATTGTAATTTATATGAGGATTTAAAAAAAATTTGATTATGGTGAATTAGATAAGCTATGCCAAATAAATAGAGTCTTTATCCTTTTGTCCAATAAAATTGCAATATCATAATATAAGTATGCATCTCATTTTAAATATCAGCTTAAGCTTTTCAATTTTACTAAAAAATTGGTATTTTTTTTAGGTCAGCATATTGAATAGATTGTCTGGGGAGAATGCTGAAGAATGCAATTTTGTTCGAGCATATGAATGCTTCCAGCACAAGAATCATACATGTTTAGTGTTTGAAATGCTAGAACAAAATTTATACGATTTTTTGAAGCAAAATAAATTCTGTCCTCTCAAACTGAAGTATATCAGGCCAATAATGCATCAAGTACGTATCCCATTTCTACATGGTATTAAGTGTGACATTATATTGCTACCTTAATTAAATTCAGCTGAAGATGTGAATCGTGTAATCGAGATTTCCAGATTTGATATTATGAATTGCCCATTCCTTGAAGCCGAAAAATTAGCTGCCATGCGCTGAAGTGAATAATATTATGACATATCCTAATTCATAGACCTACCATGAAGTAGCCTATGCCATAGTCAGTTCAGTTGTTTTTCAAATTACTTCATTTGGCCCATACATTTCACAGGTGATGACAGCTTTACTTAAACTGAAGCAATTGGGACTGATCCATGCTGATTTGAAGCCAGAAAATATCATGCTTGTTGATCCAGTTCAGCATCCGTATCGCGTGAAAGTTATTGATTTTGGTTCGGCAAGTCATGTTTCAAAGGCAGTTCCTTCTACCTATCTTCAATCCCGTTATTACAGGTTTGTGTGTGTTTTTACCACCTTCTTGCATCATCCCCTCGGAACGAATCCTTTTTGACAAGATGCCGTCTGGGAAATGATAAAATTGTCAACATTGCATAAACCACATGATGAACTGTGCAGCTGCTTACAGCATTCAAAGCATGGCATATTATATTTTACAAAAAATTATTAACATATTACCGGTACCGCTGTATTTCAGAATAGGAAAGTTTATCAATGAGCTATTCTCACATGCCTCGCATTATTCAATATAGTTTTCAATAATGTGTGTGATTATGAAATTAAAATGTGAGTAATTAGGGAATACAATTTGATTCCAACACAACTTACATGATGGCTTATATTGATTTTTTTGCACTGAAATTGTATCCCACAGTGTGACTGCCAAATTGTTGATATAGCTTTGAATAGATTCTTTTTCTTGGTATTGTTGTGCATGACATGAAAAAGAGTGCTAGAACCAATGCTTAGTATTCTTTTCATACTGGGAACTTTTTGTGAGATTCACCTTTCTAATTTTCAATTTTATTTTTATACAGAGCTCCGGAAATTATCTTAGGGCTTGCATTCTCTGAGAAGATTGACATGTGGTCTTTGGGTTGCGTAGTAGCAGAGTTGTTCTTGGGATGGCCCTTGTATCCAGGTGCCTCCGAATATGACCAGGTCAGAAATTGGTTCTAGATTATTATAGTATCGGTTATACTGTTAATAGTGACAATAAGTTTTTTGGGCTCACAAATGAGCAGCAGGAAAATGTCTCACTTTTCAAAACAAATATTTCAGATTCGATATATCTCACAAACCCAAGGTTCTCCACCACAGCAATTGCTTAATGAGGGTACGAAGACTTCAAAGTTTTTCTTGAAGCATGCAGAAGGTGTCTATCCTTTGTGGCGGCTTAAAACGCCAGGAGAATATGAAAGAGAGACTGGAGTTAAGTCAAAAGAAGCTCGAAAATATATTTTCAATTGCTTGGATGACATGGCTCATGTATGTTTTTATCTTCATCATTTTTTGCTAAATATGAACATTGTTATATAGTATAATATTACAACTTACAAGTAAATCTCATATTTGATGCCTGAATCTGGATTTCCGTGAAATTTAGTTAGAGTTATGGTTTGATTGAAACGCCAAATTGACAAACATGTTTGTAGCATTGCATTGGAATAACAACTGTTCATATCAAAATTATTCTGCGTCAGAAATCTAATTTTAACTTTTTAAAAATGTATTTCCTAATTTCCACACACAACTGGCAGTGAATTCTGTAATCGAAGGCAACTAATATACTTAGTTATACTAGCCATTCATCATAGTCTTATAATGATCCAATGATAATGATAAACCAACTGTTCAGGTAAACACACCCGGGTACGAGGGTGCAGACATGATGGCAGAAAAAGCAGACAGAAGAGAGTTTCTGGAATTGCTGAAGCGAATGTTGGTCTTGGATGCAGAAACAAGAATAACTCCCGGAGAAGCTCTTAATCATCCTTTTGTCAATATGACACATTTATTTGAATATGCACACACGCCATTGTGAGTTCAATTTATTGTAACAAAAAAATAACCGGAGACTAAGGAGCTTTTTATTTATATTTATTGGCACATGAATATCAAAAGCAATTTCTTGTGTTCAGTTTCATTTCAGTTCCAGTTTTTTGTTGTCTATACGTATAAAGGATTATGTCATGCTGCTAGTCTTAGGTTTGCTCACCTCAAAAACGTAATCATATTCACCAAAGAACTAGAAGTCTCTGGAATGAATGGTTTTGTGTTGCGTGATTGAGTGTGATTATTATATTACAGAGTGAAATCGATTGTTGAAAAAATGAAAGTATGCAGAAGAAATCATCACACAATGTACGATGTGTTACAAACACAAACTGCCGCAGCAGCAGCTCAAGCATCGCCGTTTCTTGCTGGATTTATTCCTGGTGCTGCGGGAGTGTCAAGCCATCCACTCGCTGGAAGCATGGCAGTATCATTAGCAAACTCATTCGGTGGACAGGTATTATTTTATGAATACTTATCCTATAGTTACATCTTCTGGGATTTCTTATGTTATTGACAAGTTGTCTTGCAATTATGACTCTTATGAATATAATTGGGAAATACCTACAACTTCTTATTCTTTTGAATATCTTATTTTTTCAGAGTTCAAGGAACGCTTCACATTCGTATCCTCGTCCTGATGCTATACAGCCTTCATTTTTTATCTGTCCAACCTATCCTACATTACCAACTAGTCCAAGGTATGAATTGCTTTTTTATGTTCTTGGGACCTGTAGTATGATTACGAAACCAGTTGAATATGTGAATAATTATCTGGTTGAATTATCTACTTGTGTTACAGGCAGGGATGGCCATTTCCGAATACTAAACTATTTCGAATACATTCTAAAATAATGTTTTCGAATCTGGAATTCCGAATACATTCTAAAATCGAAAATAACACATTTTTGTTTTAGTTCATTAAAACCCAGTAAATTAGGAAATAAGCTTCAAAAGGAATATCAGAATGAAGCCACAAACCAACAGTATATGTACACAAAGTAATTGATAGTTTATAGCTATCAATAAAAAATAATAGCAACTTGTGACACAGTCAGTTTATTAAAATTATTCACTTTGTACAAATGACCATATGAAAAGATAGCCAAGGAGTTGGGGTGACGCTTTCTATTATTGGTACCAAACCAACAGTATATGTACACAAAGTAATTGATAGTTTATAGCTATCAATAAAAAATAATAGCAACTTGTGACACAGTCAGTTTATTAAAATTATTCACTTTGTACAAATGACCATATGAAAAGATAGCCAAGGAGTTGGGGTGACGCTTTCTATCATTGGTACCATGATATTAGGATAATAGTCAAGTCTATTGACAAAAATACTACTTGTATTCAGATAATTGTGTATATTTTCTGTGAGTAATCAAATTTATTGGCAATACAGGCAACTGAAACAAGCCACAACAATCGAAAATCCATTATTTTTTTCAAAAATTCTAATATTTAAGCTTAGAGTATTCTACTACCTACCAGTATATTTGTATATTAATTTATGTTAACCATATTGTTAATATGTGTAACATATTGTTGTGTTTGAAATTAGAAATAAATTAACAGAGAATAGATGACCACCACTGCCAGCCGCGCAGCCAGGATTTTCGAAATCGGAAATTCCCACTGCCGCCTGAACACCCACCGCGATTCCGCGCTCGTTAAAAGAGCCGTCTTTTCAGCGTATAATGATCATCCTGTTACATAAAATATTCAATCCATGACAACTACGATATTCTAAAATATCTTTATATATTAATTTAATGTGTCCAACGTAACTCGCGGTTGCTTCTTCTTACGTCAAAAAAAAAACATTATTATTTGGTCCACAGCGATCTGTGACCTAAAAGTACGAGATAAACCGCCTGATGTATTTAATTTTAATACGTATTTTTGCAAACTTGCCAACTCGGTATCGCCGTTAGAAAAATCTCAAATAATGATATAAAATCCTGTTAAGTGTAGTGTATAATTCATTTCATACAATGAATATACATACAAAGTTGAGCAGTAAATTAAAAATACATATTTATTGCCGCGATTATGCCACCTGTTAAAAGAGTCGACTTTTACAACAAATAATATAACAACGAATATATATTTTTCTGTTGTGCAAAGTGATGAATTCGTGACCGATACGGGCCTATTTAAAATGTCTTGCTTCATTAATTTAATTGTCTCCAATTTAACCTTCGGTTGCGTCGACAAAATAAAATCCTCACCACTCTTATATACCATTGCAATCCGCGATCATAAGAATAAAAACGTGTGGTAAACTGCCCGATTAAATAATGTTCAGATCCGTATTTTGCGAATTCGGCAAATATTTAGATGTAGGCCGCCTACTTGTTAACAGTGACTCCACTCCGCTCAATCGAAATGCTGACACTCTGATTATTTTTAGATAAAACCGTTCGAAAAATCCATAAATCTGCTGTAACATCTCAGAGTAAAATTTATTTCATCACAATAAAATTGATTGAATATACTTTAGATTAATTATATTAAATACATCCTCACAACCCGGGAAAAAGTCGCGTTTCAAATATTCGACGGCAATTCGAAGTAATGAATAATCAGGCAAATCCCGCCCTCAATTCGTGACGATATGTTTCTAAACGCCCGACCAAACATAATGTGTACGGTAGGCCCACGAAATTTTGCGATTTTCACTGCCTAGAAAAGCGTTTTATAAATTTTCACGGGTTTCAATAAAACTTATATTGTTTGCGGTTTTATTTTCAGTATTTTAAATTGCCGCTTTTCAATCAAAAAGTTGCGTTGTCTTTAGAAACTCGCCGCCGATGATTGTATTTACCAGATTCACAATTCCGTGCGCGTACGTTATCGTGGAACAAATTTGTGGAAAATTTTCGTTTTGGAGAAAATAACACAAACGTAAAAGCGTTTACGGCCCAAATAACACGTTACGCTGATGAGTGATGAAAACAATCACGCGCAAGTTTCTATCGAGAATGTTTTCATTCAACGGAAACGTCTTGGAAGCGGCGTCGAAAATGTGTGACGTCACACAAATATTCGATATTCTTATGAACGCTAATTCCGATATTCGAATGACGAGATATTCGAATACATTCGAATACTTTATTCGAATTGGCCATCCCTGGTTACAGGCGTATATGACAAATACAATAATGCAGTTTCTGTATGTTTAAATCTTAAAACTTCAAAGACTACTAGAAATATTATACGGTTTATACCATTTCAGTTACATTTTTCTCGCCCTCATTAATCTTTCAGCTATCCATCTATTATTTTCCAAATTATGTCTATTATTTTAAAATGTTTATTTTTAGATCACATGCACAGCATGCCAATACAAGCTTTGGGCATCATGCAGCAGCGGCCGCAACTTTGATGCAGCCCTTAGCGATGCCTGCTCCTGGATCTGCAGCTCATATAACGCTCCAGAGTCAGTTACTGGCACAGGTTTGTTGGTTGATTCCTCAAAGCAAGCTTAATACAGATCCACAAATGCACTTTAAATGATTTTTAAAACAAAGGGTCTGCTGGAATTCAACTCATAGTTATTGTATGAGTTGTATACGTCATTTTTTATACTACGCTTCTCTCGTCTAACGAGGATTTGTACAAGTAGCCACTGAGATATAAAAGAAGCTGCTATCTTTGGAAGGGCCGGAATCGGTTGGGCATTGCTTACCCGATTTATTATGCCCTGAAGATGTGTAACCGGTGATACCAAAACATCGCTACAACATCGGATCATTCTTGACTTGACATTGACAATATTACCCTGCAGTTGTGTTTCAATTATCATTACTCTGGAATATTTTTCCTCTGTGAGCGAAAGCAAACTACTAAGTATTAAAATTACTTTTATTTCTATTATTTTAATTCCTTACAGAATTCGTTACACACCAGACAAATGTTGGTACCAGCGTGGCAGACATTACCGGCTATGGCAGCGACAGCAGCTGGAAGTTATCAACAGCATCTCATGACAGAAGCAAATGTATTGGCGGCACAAAGTGATCTTCTTAGGTTTGACAATGTTTTATTATATATTGTGTAGGAATTCAAACATGAAATTCTCAATTGTACTTTCACTTGCTATATAAAACAGTTTGACAGTTCGCTGTAAACATGACAATTATGGCGCATTAAGGGAAGCAACTCTATTTCTCTTGGGATTGTCTATCATTTGAAATCTGTCTACAGGCACTGCTCTTTGGAATGTGTCTATTGTTATAGCCATTACATAATATTGTTCTATTTTACTTTGGTTAAATATAATCACATTAGATCAACTCTAAATTATTGGCAAACAAGATCTGTCATATAGTTTTCCAAAATCGAGTCAATATATTAAAACACAAAATGACCAAAGCTTTCAATAAAACATACTTGATGTTTATTATCAACTGACACAAGTATTTATTTTATCACTGATTGTTATTCATGTGTCTGACTTTGATTTCAATATGTTTGCTATAGAAGGCCACAACCACAGGTTGTTCAAGGTCGAGCTGTGGATGCAGGATCAAATTACCATGACCGATCTAATAGACGTCAGCAGTATGCACAGCGTAGGTCAGGCAACTCACATACCAAAAGAAAATAGTAAGTCTTGTCAATATTTATTTATTTATACTTAGGGCTGTAGGAGAGGAAGAAGAAAAATTATAAAAAAAATACAGATATGTCTGTGTTCAGGGATCGACTAGCATTCCGCCATTACGAGACTTCAAATAATTTAAATATTACACAGTAATCACAAATTTTTACTTCGGTAGTTAATTCTAATAGTAAAGATAACCATTGTAAATTGTGGTCGTGGCATGATGCCAGAATATATAAAAATTATTTTAAAATATCATTTTTCCGTTTATGAATTAATAGATTTGATGATTTTCTTTCAGCAACGGTGTATCACCTCATTCTCAAGCCATAATTATAGCGGATGACACACCAAGCCCAGCTGTCAGTGTTATTACAATAAGCAGCGATAGTGAGGATGAAACGCAGATTATACCAGGGTCCTCTACGTAAGTATTAACGGTGGTGAAGATGTAAATTAATTTATATTATGTTAAAGTATGTCATTTAAATTATGATTACAGGTAGCAAATAAATAAAATGTAATATTTTTTTTTTCAGACAAAGAAACAATGTTATAAGTTGTGTGACTGTACGCGACAGTCCTGCAGATCAAGAACAATCAATCATGTCATCGACGGTTGAAGGACATCCATTTTTGTCCCATTCCAATAGTGACCCCTCTGCTGGGTGAGTGTATTTTTTTATTTAATTTTTTTCAATATAATAATTCTTCAAGAAATACCATTTATTTATTTTTATGCATTCTATTTGAAGCTGATGTCCACACACCTGTTAAAATAGAATCTTATTCAATAGTTAAGCAGTGGTAGACCTTATTGTTAGCAACACTAACGCTCTAGATCTGAGTTAAAACTGTTTGGCAACTCAATGTTGCAAGGCAAAAATATTACAAAATAATAATGAAGATTATCACAAAAACTTTGATACCGTACCAGTAACTCAGCACACATACATTTCGCTTTCTTCCAATCCGAGGTACTTGAATTTCTGTTCCCAAATTTAAACCAAACAATTTCGTATTTTACCGCAACTGGCGTTAGACTTTTTTTGTCAACTAATACGATAATTTAGGAGCTAAAAAATTGTGAAACTTTTCCAGTGCATTTCAATTTATTTGGACCAAATATTGTATTAGGCATTTACTTATTGTGTAGTTGCTTAAGAATTGTTGGGATTAGTTCTGGCAAAGTGAAATAAAATTCCAGTTGAATTTATCTGGGTGCAATTTAAATTAATATATTGATATATATTGAAATAATTTCTGCTTGATATTATGTATAACTGAAATGTCCCAAACTAGTTTGATGAAATGTGTTCATATAATTTTTTTTCTTTGTCTTCAGCACAAAAATGGAAGTGCTTGACAGCGGCCCTAGCCACAGCACTGTGTTTCCATTATCATCACAACCCCATCATTCATCAAATCCGCATTTCCAGAGTAAATTTGATGATAAGGCCGTCTTGGCTGCAGCTGCGCAATGTAATTCATTCAGCACCATTATGCAGCATCAATATCCAGAAGCATATCCATCATCTGGCCATTGGAAGGCCATAAAAAAAGATGGGGATGAAGGTATTTGGTATTATCTTCTAGTATTTAAAGGGCAGGGCCCACCTAATGAGCTCATAGTCCAGAATGAATTTCTTAATTTGTTCGTTTTTCATCTGCACCCTATGCGCTGTTTGACCTGTTTTTTTTCCTAATCATGAAAACTTTGTCCATGCAATTATAATCATTCACATTCAACCCAGGTTATTACCATCAACCAGGAACATCAAAATCAAGTCGCTCTCGTACAACAGCTGGCCATTCTCTACCTAAACCACACCATCATACTGGAAGTATCCAGAATGCCATAACTGCACCCACACCATATTACGCCGTTCAGAATCAGCCATTAAACTTAACACAGGTATGTACCAATTTGTATATTGGTCATATGGATGTAGTATATGTTATAAGCTTATTATTATGTACAAATTTTTCAATATGATTATCTTTCCCTTTTTTTTTAGGTACGGCCGCAGTTTTCGACTGCCAGTCTTATGACCCATCCTCAACTTCACTTGGCACAAAGAACATTAATCCATTCTCCTGGGAATGCCTTGAGCCATGCAGCCCATCTTGCGGCTTCTACGCCAGCACACAATAGTATGAATGTTGCGGCCGCAGCTTTGTACCAGCAATACGCAAGACCGACATATGTTGGATCTCCGACCCCAGGTAAGGTCCAGGGACGCTTAGAATCAAATAACTCCCAAATGCATATTTATTTATGATAAGAAAAACGATGTTAAAGTAATAGATTTTTTGGTATTACCATAAAACCTTCATTGACCAAAATATCAATCTTTCAATTAATAGCAAGTATTTCTAATCTCTTGAAGCAATGGTGTTATGATTTTGGTTTGTTACATCAGATCCTGATCCCTACAATTCATCACATTCATCTAACTTGCCGGGCGACTTGAGAATACTTGAATTTACTTTTTTTAGGTCAATTCTCTATTCAACTGAGTTGTATTTTACCCCAAATGACTTTGTCAAATTATCACATTGGAATGCAACGATAAAGCATTAAATTTTGTTTTGCAGGTATGTTCGCAACATATCCAATAAGCCCAACTAAACCACAAGCTTACCAATATTTCTATCAACCGTGACACAAGCCGATGTTGTTCTGGATTTTGATTGTTCAGTTCTAGATTTGTTTGTTTAGTATCCCATGGATCTCATGGATTTGTTGTCCTACGGTTTTCATCTCGAATACTATGATGTAGTTTTTAGAGGGTGTTCTGCAAAACTTGACTTTTTATCACTTAATTGTCATTTCGTAAAAAATAGTATGTTGAAGAAGAAAATCTTTCCTATAATATTTTAACTAATTTGTTTATTGATTGCTCTCGATTCATAAAGATGTTGTATGCATGAATTTGATCTTTATATTTGTCCATGCAGACTGTCAAGTTTGTGCTTCAGAAGATTTATGTTTTGGCGCATCCTACCTTGTAGAACACTTATAATAAGGGAGTTCTCATAACTATTTTTTGGAAGGTCCATATGATTTGGAAAATTTATGTATAAATTCAGTTCCCTTTTTAGTCTTGAAAACTAAGCATTTATTTTCAAGCATTCTGTTCTATTATTTTCTCATTTTAGCGAAATAAATCTATTTAACACGATTTTAAAATAAAAATATTCTATAAAAAAATTTCAGAATATAAGTGGGTTATTCAGAATGCTTCCTTTAAAAATCATTTACTTTTCATTGCCTTAAATGACTGTGATACACAGGCATGATGCGCATCTTATACTTACATGGGTTTTCCTGGATCTCACATAAATATTTGAATGAATTCAACAGTTTCTGCATCTTTATATTGTATTATTATCCTAGCGCTCCTTGTTGATCTTAGGTTTTAAAATTTTAGCAATTTTAGTTTGTGGCACATGCGTTCTGTTTTTATCAATTTTTATTATTCTAGTTATCATTTGTAACTCTCTAATTGCTCTCTAATTTGTACTTCTATTTGTAATCAGCAGTGTGCATTGTACATAAGCTACCACATCTCCATCTTATTTCCATTGTTATCATTATTACCATTTTAACTGTGTGTGTTTATGTTAACACAAGAAAAGTTTCCCGTGTTTGTAAATATATATGATACCGCACTCAATTTTGCTGTGAATAGTAATTACTTTGGAATTTTTTGCAATTATTGTTTTATCACTTTTTTGAAACTCTGTGCCACGTCATTTGTGCTTTTATGATTTGGTTTCAAATTAGGATTCGTCTATATTATTCCATGTAAATTTTGTTTTGAAAATTTTTCATGAAATTGAGAATGATTGTGTGTAATTGCATGCATGCTTTTGCATTGAATTGTAATTCGGGATGAATAACAACTTATGTGGATATGTAAGAATGTTTCTGTTGTACTTCGGTTCCATTCGAATGTTTGTGTTTCAATAATTGTATGTAAAATCATTTTATATGAAGTAGCTACAATTTTACCTGGTACAAAGTGTTCATATCCTTGTAGTGATTATCAGTAATGTTGTAGCATATTTGAATATCTGTATATTGGCCTGTTTGCCATGCCATGTGGCATTCTAGTTTTACTTTCCTTCCCATTACTTAATCAACTTGCCTGTATAGAAATTTCCAGAATTTTTTTTGTTGAAACATACGCCTGGATTCATGTCCGAAGCGGTGAGAGTTTTTTTTTAACATAGCACCATATTCAATACAAAGGCTGAATTTCATTTTTTTGGTAATATGACGTAAATCGTACATTGTGCATTTTTATTTCGATTTGTTGATGTCATGTTGAATTGGAAATTATGTTCAATTCTATTTTTCAAGAATTTTTAGTACCTGAAAGATCTGGAATTTTTTTGCACGAACCTTATTGATTTTCATGTCTAGTGGGCAAGTAAAATTCTTCAACAATAAATTCATATTGCACATGCATAAGCCAGTTTCCAAAAATATTGCATGCATTTGCCATGAAACAAATTTGGCATAAAGCTACAGCCGTAAATTTCAACTTAGTTTTTTGAAATAATGAAGTCGTCAGACATGGTGTCAAATTTAAATATGTTCTTCTAAACTAAAAAGGGAAGTACTTGTATAGGTGTATGATATTCTCTTGTGAATTTAGGAAATCAGAATCTTTTTTCCAAAATGTATAAAAAATGGTATATTCACTTAAAATTCTCCGCTAAACTTTTATAATTGTACAAACTAAAGCTCAATGAACAAATAAATTGAGATGTAGTCAAAGTACACAATCCCTATTATCTGTTGTCCTACTGAAATTCATGTTTACGGCTAATTAGCATCTAATTATAAAGATGAGTTAAATTGGTCATTTGATCGGTAGGTAGTTGGTTGAAAAACTATATTATTAAGTGTTGGTAGAAATTCTTCATGTTTTTTTTGTTTTATATTTTATTGAGGTAGGTGAATTCTATCAAGAATCAGCTTGTTCCTCGGAGAAATTTTTGTTAGGACCTATGTACAGTAGGTTTTGATGAATTTTATGGTGTCTCTTCATTAATCATGAATTTGCCAATATATGGTGCTTAAAACTTATAATTGATACCATTTTATTATTATACTTATTATTATTAACATTGATGTTAGTTGGGTTCACTTTTATATGGATTGTTTTTAATTATTTTGTTCTTGTTGTAAAGTTATCTTTTACTTGATTCTCTCATTCACATTCTCACAAATGTTCAAAATTCATTTATTTCCCCTTATTTTGATGTTTTATGTTTGGATGATTTTTTTTCAAATTCGAAATTTCAATTTGTCATCAAAATTATTCATGAAAATTTGATATCATATTTCTCTGGTTAGCCTGTAATTTTCAATGTCATATTGAAACAACCAAGAAATATAAACTGCATGGTCGTGTGAGCTTCACTACAGACAACACTTTAGAATTTACTTATATATTCGGTAAATTTATCCTTCACTCTTTCAGCTATCGTTTTCACTGTGGTGATGACGACTTGTAATTCCAACTCCCTGTCATTCTAACCTTTTTGACCTACCGTGTTAGCTAGGTACATTTTTTTGTGAAACGACCTCATTTAACAATAAATAAATTACAGTAAAGTTATTTTGATTTTTACTTCAAGCTAATGATAGTAATTTTTGCTGATTGTATGATTTTGCCTTCGTTATTTTTTCTCATGTGTAGCTTGGTGAAGTAGCCAGTATTTGTAGTTACCTTTGTAAATTCATCTATGTCGACCATGCTTAATTAAAAATGGCTTTCATTTTATCAAAATAGCTTTTAAAAAAGTGGTTTAAAATTATGTTGAATATGTTGATTTTGTTTGCTGCGTTTTGGAACAACAATTCTAAGTATTATTAATTGTTAAAACTAATTTTTTGGCCAATCCAACTCTGCATGTCCATCAAAAAAATCATCAAAGGCTTTTCTGTTTGTGAAAATTCAATGATATAATTGAATATTTTTTTATTTTTTTGTAAACATAGATAACAAATGTATGTGAATACACAAGTTTGTCTGCCAGCAAATTTGGTGTTTTATTCGTGCCAATAAAAAAAAATAATAGTAAAAATATTACTGAAACAAAAACAAAAAAATACTTCGTACAAATTATATGGATTAATGTCTATTATGTTGAATTGTTTCTAGCATTAGGAAAGTAGTGTAAACATGAGAGCATACTATTACCTCCACTTATACTAGTTTAGTTAATATTTGAAGTGAATTTGCATAGTAGTGCCCTTTGAATCCTGTCATTTCCTATGAAATTCCATAGTACCCTAAAACGTTGTTTGCGCAAAACTGATCAGATGCGTTTGGATTAGCATCATTTCGAACAATATAACTTGGGGTAAAGTTTTCTCGAATATGATTTCAAATTCATTACTGTATATGCATTTTGCCCCAAACAGAAATTGACTCTATAATTCTTAGTTTCGCCAATTTTTATGGATTCGATGTTCTATTTGAATATTTCTTCATTCAGTAGGAAATGTAGAAATGTTTTAAAGTCTATTTAATAACCTTCATTCAAATCTGACCATCTGGCTATGGTTAGCTCTTAGCTGCATTACTGATTTTCATTCAGACCAGCCATGACGTGAAAACAACTTGTTATTTTTTGTTGATATCATTATGTTCATCTTCGTTCATATTATATTCTAATACACAGTAAGCTGTATTCTACTCCAGGACACAGCCATTCTGGTGATTAGTGTAAATTGACCTTTTTATATTTAGTACCAGGTTGAATGTATATTGGAAAGCGGTGGAAACTGATAATATTCAATCCAACTCTTCAAATATATGATTTAGCGTGAAACATTAAATTGAATATTGTTATTTCTATGGTGGCTGTAACCATTAGCTTCATTGGTTAATTGTGTAGATTGTAGTTTTCTTTATTACAGTTTTGTCGAGGCTGATCAAAAAGTTTTGGAATGTGATTTGTGTATTAATTGAACCAACCTGTCAGATGATCCGAGAAACAAAATCAATCTAATTTATGATTGTTCTGTGACAGAGTTGTGCTTGTGTAGTTTATAATTGAAAGGACATATACTATGGGAATTGAGAAATGGTACTACTTTTGTAGATAATTTCATTTACGGTAGATTGTGCCGCCAGCCCTATCATGCCCCCAAATTTTTACAAGTTATGAAAACTGTTTTTTTTTTTCAGCAAATAGATTGTAAATGTGGTTGACTATCTGCATCAAATGTGCCAAATGCTCACACATTTGTGCAAACTATCTTCAGTTTCATCAAAATCATTAATCGCTGCCTTCTCAACTCTGTCTTTTTAAAAATGTATTTATAGTGTTTGTTATTTGTAAGTCACAGTCATTTGTAATACTAAGAACATTACATATAAAGGAATGAAAATAATTGTAGTTTGTTGGCTTGTAAAGGTGTGCAATATATATTATCAATGTATTTGAATCTGTGTACTCTTCGATTTTTTTCTTTTCATATTCTTTTTTAGGTTGATTTAGTTTTGTTATTTCTGTTGTAGTTTTATTTGCTCATGATTATCCATAAGCTTGTTTGTGTGTTCTGTGTTTTAAATATTTTTGTTGATTGTATTGGTATTGAAGTGATCATTTCACAATTTATAAATAATTTGATTTAAACTGTAGTTTCTATACGGGTGTGTATACAATTTGTTGTTTGTATGGTAATTTTCTTTCATTATCTTTTTGTTACCGGTTTTACCAACTTTCTTATTAGCTTCCTTCTCGCCGCCTTCGTGTGTCTTTTCACAGTTTGAACTGTTTTTTGGGTTTTATCTCCAGGCAGATACGATTTTTTGATATTCTAACCAAATTTTGTCCATCAATGCCTTGGATAAGAATGATCTGATTCTTGGTTCTAGTGGTGTGTTTATTTCTGTGATTCACATACTCATTTTCCACACCTATTCAATTAGACAAATAAAGGACATGTTGTTCGTTTGGATAATTTCGCATTTTTTTGAGTCTTGCTCACATTAGCAGCTTTGAGCAAACAGAGTTTCTTGACTACAATACAGTCCGAAGATGATGCCCGCTACCTTCTCTTTGCCGTTGAAATGATTCTTTCGGTATAGACTTGGGTGACTGATATACATAGCGACTGCATTCGAGCTCTCCCTGTGTTGAGGTCAAGTGAGTTAGGGCGATATTGAACATCACGTCTACTGTCGTCTGTGGGAACTGAGCATCTGTCATTTGAAATTGATATGGGTACCTTTTTTAACAATTTAAACCTATTTATTGCATATTTCTAGTAAAGTCGACAAAGATCCAAACCATAGGAAATTATATATATAATAATTGTAATTTGATAATTCTGATCCCATGACAACAGAACTGCGAAAACAGTAATCCGTTGACCCAGGTTGTAATAATATATGCCTATTGTTTATTTAATAGTTGGACGCACTGTAAAAGTTCGAAATTTTCATTAGCGAAACGAGCAAATCTTAGAAGACTGCTGCCGATAGACAACATTCTAAAGATGAAATTTAAGATTGCGCAGGATAGTTTGTCAAATAAAATATTCAACTCCCACAAAGGAGATTTCCCTCTAAACTTTCGATAAATTACTCGATATTTCAAAATATTCATTCGAAGGCATAGTTCATTTCACTATTTTCAGATATATGAATTCGTTGCCGAAATTGCCACCGCCTGTCGCATTCTGTTGATTATGATTTTTTAAATTTATTCTTATGAATAACTTACTGAATTCAACGAAAATCGTTGCGGGAGTTATCGCGATCACGCGTTTGACCGTAAATAGGACTGCCAACATCAATGCTTCAAAAAAATTTTCTGTGAACTGAATCTTTCTTTTAGGATAGGATTCGCATATTTATCCAGGGGGAGAAGAAAGCCGATAACGCGGCTTAATCATGGCGAACCACGGCCAGTTCATGTCGGGTATGGGATTAGTGAGCCTGTTGTTTGTTTTCAGCATGGTGAAAAAAAATAAATTACTGTTTTCGGAACCATTGCCAGCGTATTCCTAACGCTTAGCACGATGCGCTACAGGCTACACCGCCGAGACTTTACCAAGTCTCCACATTTTCCTGATTTCTATACGGGCAAGTCTTGGTTCACAGCATCTGCTGTCTACTGCTTCCACTATCTGATATATTAAATTAATTGGTCTATGGGCCTTTCCCCGATCCTTGATCCGGGGAAATTTCTTTCCGTATATAGATATATACATAGTCTACTTCACTATTGAATTTTTGTTATTCTTGTTTTGAAGGGTTGGCGTTTACAAACGGGTTTATATGTTTAAAACCAGCATTTTCATTAAAAAAAATTAATAAACCACGTGCCTCTTGCAGGCAAGGCCTACTGATAGCTAATTTTAGGCTAGTCTATCAAAGCTTTTTTTTATTATCGCAATTGAACTGAAGCTTCTCGAAAGACATAAAGTCGCAATAAAGTTATTTAATTTAAAACTTATTTATAAACTGACAAATAATAAACTGACAAGTGAATAAAGATTGTTGTTGTCGCTAGAAGGCTATTAGGTATATTTTAATTATTCCAACATTTTCTATGAATCTTATGAGATTTGATAGGCAATTCCTCATGCATTTTCTTGTTGGCATCTTTGGTGGTATAGACAAGTTCGAATCATGTATGGCTTGTATGCCCTGCAAAAAAAACATTTGGAAAAGGAAAACCAGTTATTTTTGCAGAACTCAGTTTACAGTTGGTGATTGCGATTTTGATCAGAGAGTCTGCTGTTTGTATAGGAATGGAAGAAAACTATACTCAATTTAGTGATGGCTCATTTGGTGCCCCGTCGTCAACACAAAAGACTTTTACTGCATTACCAGAAAAGTTGTCTGAAACCCCACATGAGGAAATTTTCTTGCAATTCACAAATCTTAAATGACGATATACTGCATGAACTAATATTTTATTATTTACTAAATTATTTACTTATTTTCATTATTATTCGAAGTTTGAGAACTATTTTACAAGTGAATTTTCCCGAACTCCCAAGTAGAATGTCTGGAATTAGGACTGTTCAAAAATATTTTTGAGTTCAAGTTTATATAGATCACTTTGTTTGTTCTAATGCAGTGGTTCTCAACCTTTTTTCTTTCGTGGCCCACTTTCGTTGCATGAAAATTCCTTGGCCCACTAACTTGCTCATGCAAGGGAAAAACTACAAGAAAAACAAGACTTTTGTTTGCAAAAATAATTACTTTCATTTTAAAATTAGAATGAAAAGCAGCAGCATCATTCATTGCTACTACAATAAAAATTTGACTATAATGACACAAATGAAACCAAACTTTTCAATAACCGTAGTAATCCCACTTGAAAAGACTCTATGGCCCAGCAGTGGGCCATGGCCCACTGGTTGAGAACCAGTGTTCTAATGGCATTCCTCGCCATGTACGTTTTGCATTGCACCTGTCAACAAGGGCCACCCGCATGCTGATTAAGAATAGCATAGCATTCGTGTTATATATATGTTTCACCGTAAATATTTACTACTACGGTTTCACTGCTGTTAGGTGTTTTTTTCTACCAGGCGGATGAGCGCGTATTCATGTACGTTTTTAACCTTATTTTGAGCACTGCTCATCCTCCTTGTTTTTTGCACCTTGTTGACTTGTTATTTTTGTGAAGTGTCACCATGCCTTGGGCATACGAGCAAAACTAAATGATTGATTCAAAACGAAGCAATGTTTGCAACCGTGCTTGAATGTCTTCCTTGATTATGCAATCGATACGTCATTGTTGAGTTATTGCTCATTGGCCAAGTTATAGTCCAGCAGATAAGGGGACCTTTTTGGCCCAGGTTTGATTTCAGACATAAAGTTTTTTTTTATTTGTGATTATTCATCTTGGGGTCATTGCCCATCATTTCTACATAGGTGTGGAGTCTTGAGCAATTTTTTTTACGGCTCGATATTTGTATTAGTGTTCTTCGTCGAACCTGTGCATCATAATGACGCACAACCTGAACCATAACCTGTTACAATACTATGTTCAGGTTGTGCGCAATCTGGGTGCACAAACTACGCAAGCACCAAATTTACTAGGAAATAAAATCAATAACTTTTAGGTATTTATTGAGATATTTGTATTAGTGTTTTTTGTCAAACATGTGCATCATAATAACGCACAACCTCAACCATAACCTGTTACAATACTATGTTCAGGTTGTGCGCAATCTTGGTGCACAAACTTCGTAAGCACCAAATTTACTAGGAAATAAAATCAATAACTTTTAGGTATTTGTTGAGCCCAGCTTTGGGTCGCGACCCATATACAGTATATGGAAATACTGTCGAAACATACCGTAAAATAAAGAGTACTATTTCAAAATACCCGTTTTTGATGCAATTAACAATACAAGACTGCTAATGCAGTCGCCAGTGGTTCAAGTGGATATACACCCGGTGGAGAACAGTTAATTATTTGTTAGCGAGAATTGTTATGCAGCGGGATGATCACGACGACGCAGTGAAAGATAATGATATCACGAGAACAAGAATGAGAAAATTGATACATTTTATAGTATATCCCTGGGAAAGAATGTAGTTATATTCTTATGTTCCATGCCAATGCTTTTCAAACTACTAAAGACTCTCAACACTTTTGCTTCTTTTCTTCCATAAAAATACATTGTTATTATATATTCGCATTTCCATCTGTTTGTTCGTGCTCCCAGATAACCGATCAGCGGCCTCCAAAGAGGACGGGGTCCCCTTTTAAGAAACCCTGTCATAAACTAAAAGAGGCGACCGTGCTTCTCTTGCCTGTTGTCATGCTGTCCCTGGAATTCAGCTACAACAAAAATTTCACGAAAACGGATTTTTAAATTTTATTAATTATAAATATTCTCAACAATGAATGATATACGGGTGGTAAAATGCCAAGTTATTCCAACAACATGATCATGTTTTGCAATTTACAATATTTTGTATGTAACTTTGTTTGACAGGGCCCCGAGAGCTCTAACTACAAATATTAAAAATGTGAGGCCAAAACAGTCACACTACAACATTGTCAAATGTGCTGTATTTACGATAGATAACAGGTTTACCAAAAAGAATTACATGAAAAATGGTAAAACAAAGATCAATTCAGCAATATCTAGTAACTAGTTGGTGGTATGCATCTGTTGATGATTTTATGTGTTTATTTCGGAAGTTTAATAACAGAATTAATTGTGGTTGTTGGGGATGCTTTAAAAAAAGATTGCACGAAAAAAATGTTTTCACAAAATGTCAAGGTTTGATAGTAGTAGAGAAGTAGAAAAAATACTCTCATGTTTTTTTTTTCATTTGATAACCACGCCACAGAACTTCCCCGATAAGTATACGCAGCAATTGCGAGAGGCAGAAATGCCAAGATGGGATTCCATCGCATTGCAAACCAATATTAGCAATTCTTATATATATTCGCGCATTCCCATCTGAACAGAGTGGAAAATATTATACCCATCTACACACTTTAAGAACTATGTCAGATTAGCGTCATATTATCGAATATCAGTAAAGGACTAGTGCAATGGGAAAATACATATAAGGCGGAACTTTCAGTAGTATGCAATCAAATAATCTTATTGTAGAATATATATTTAAAAACATTTCGTCACGCCAACTGCAGTCCGAAACTTTTTGTCTCTGGCTGAGCTTAGATACCAATTGGCACTCATGTAAACTGGTAAGACTGTAAAAGACACGCGATAGAGCAGATACTAAGAGTATCCATCCCCCAGCTGTCATTTGAGTGGGTACTGCTGTTTTTATTGCAGATGTTACTGATCTTTTTGTATTAAAGATTTACTGGCATCATCGATTTAAAGATGTTGGAAACCAACACGCAATATTACAAAACTTACTTTCAACACGCGGTTTGAATGAATGAAAAAGCTGAAATTAGAATTCTTTAGAAGAGCATACAAATTCTATGAAATGAAATCATACACAAAAGCTCGTTAAAAACCTATAGCTCAATAATCAAGTGGAATTTGATGCACGTGCGCAAAAATGTGCGCGTTACTACGTACAACCGAAGCACGCAGGAAAATGTGTGTGATGTACTACCGGTAGTATTCAAAACGTTTGACTCAACTATGTTGGCATAACAGGTGCACATCTCGGTTTCGCATACGCATACCTTCTATCTTCACAAGGATATATTAATTTTGCCAAAGTCAATGTAGCACTGAAAGGTTGCGGTTCTTCCAAAAGAAAACACGTTACACATCTTTAGATACCAGTTGATGGTTTTACATGGCCTCGTTCGGAGTGAAAGACGAGGTCAAATATTCCAATCCAATTCAATTAATAAAATATTTCCCAAGTTTCTAAGCTTAAACTATGAAAACGAAATGCGCGCGGCAACGCAAATGTAGTCTGAAGAGCGCAATAGAAAGTGGCTAGATGCTGTCGATGGATCTTGGCTTGTATTAGTGAAATAAACTACCATTTAGTCTACTAAAATTGAATTTCTGACATTGTAAGGAGATTCAATGTTACTATGTATGCAAAACTAAACCATGTAGTTATGAAATAATTGTTTTCTACAAAAAGGCGCTCCTGAAGTATTCATACCAAGATGGCGCACAACATGAACATTGTATGTTTACCAGGTCAGGGTTCAGGATGTGCGTCATTTTGGACCGAATACTTCAAATCCACTTAAAAAAATTGCTCAACATTATATACTCCGCACCCACCTGGGTATCATTATATATGTCATATACATTATATCTAAACAATAAAAAAAACTTTATGTCCCAAACAATGTTAAGGCCCGATTCTGCCGGACTATTACGGAATTGGACAAGGAAATCGGTGCTTTGAAACATCCATTAATTACAAGGAGAATCGATTTTTTTTCACAAAAAGTCGCCCGGCCACAAGACTAGCAGCAATAACAAAATAATCCATATGTGTTTGGAGTTTTCGAAATAAACTATCTATCATTTTCGTGTCCTGTGAACAGTTTTACTTATTTTTTCTTTATATTAATTACCTGTATTTTATCGTTTGTTATGATTATTATGGAGTTGCAATAAACTTATATTTCAATCGAAAATCCCAGAATCCTGAGAAATCTCGAAGTTCCCAAATCCTAACCCTGGTGTAGATGGCCCCACGTGATATGTACCATGAGGCTGGCTAGATCTTAACTCGAGGCGGGAGCTCTCTGCAACGATGTCTCGGTTGTTTTTCACGGTGCGATTAGTAGATTGTTGCAACAGTTTTCGTGCTATCACATTGAAAAAAAATACTGAAATAACAAATTCTTACCGATAAAATAATACCGATACTTATTCTATGGACACATAAATCAGAATATTGATATCATGCTGAGAAAAGGTACCGATAGTTTGCCAAATATTCTTTTATATATTTCAAGACGAAGACGGCCACATAAACGTAAAGTCAGAACAGGTAAGATTTATGTCTATTGCTGTACTGTGTTATAAAATATGTGATGATTCCCCGTATAGTGTGTGTATCTGTATTAGACCCTAAGTTTTTTACTTGAAAAATCTGAAAATTGAGCAGTAGGATCTGAGGATGGGGATGACAAATTCCAGAGTTCAGAGCGCTGGACTGTCTGACTGTCACAAGTCTGCGAGTTAAGGCAAATAAATACAGTAATTTAAATAGATCAGAATATAGTTTATTTTTAAAACTCCATGATTCACACAAATTAAAATGGAGAATTCTGGAGAGCGCGCAAAAAGTTTAAAACCTGAAAAATATTATGTACCCACTCGCTACTGCACTAGCTGACTAACACGCATTCAAGAAAAATGACACAAAGCTAGTTAAACAAGGCTCTGAGATTTGAGACAGAAATCAAAAAATATTCAAATGTATTGAACTTACTGGCTGTTTTATTATACACTTGAGCTAATAACAACCAATTCAACCTGTTACAGTATAGTCGGGTCAGGTATAGTATTACCACATGCATTTTTAATTAACCTGACTCAACAATTTTTACATATATCATTCCTAAACCCCCACCTGACCATGCCACCAAAAAATGACGCCACAGTGGCGTAATAAATACCTCCAAAGTGTACGGTCGGTCGTCCAAAGTGCACAGACGATAACCCGAAATCGAGCAAGCTATTCCTCTCGTTTTCTGGTCGCAACGATCCCGATATGAGAGAGACCGCTGGCGGTAGTGAGTTCAGTGTCGTCGGCGCAGATGCCATTTCGGTCTTCGGACAATGGTAGCTGTACTTGGCAAGCTCTATGACGTGATTGTGACGTCGCAGTGACATAATTTTTGGATGACATAGTCAGGTTGGGGTTAGGAATATCATATACAAAATTCGTTATGCTACGCCCACCGGAAGTACTTGTGGTACTAAACTATACTAGACCAGTATAGTCTACGCTTTAATTTAAATGTTTTGAAGAATGGTAATACAGTAATATAAAATTTAATTTCTCAATCTTTTTGAAACTCAGTACACTGATACAGCAATAAACAGATATATGTTGTTAATTGAAGTAATGTTCATTTTGTTCCATCTGTTAGTGGTATTATTTCAATTTCTCAATTTTTTTTTTACAATTGGATCATTTGATCACCACAAATAAAACCCTTAACACCAGATAAATAGTTGCAACTAATTTGGTTTTTATTCGCGTTAAGATTGCCATGTGACACAGAGGCGATTAGTATCAAATGAAGCAAGATGTCAAAATATGGAACACTTCGACCGGGTAATTTCAACTGTTCTTTCTAATTTTTAAACAGGAAGCCAATCAACTGGAATTTATATATCTTTTAATACCAGCCATAACAATTATGACACAGTGACTGTGTTTTCACTTTCCATACAGAACCCAATATTTTATATGGCATTTATTTAAGATTTGGGCAATGAATTTGATAATCAACTTATATCTAGCTCAGTGCTAATTTGGCCATGTTGGATCACTCGTGTTGTTTGGCACTGGTATCATTAAAGTGAATCAAATATTTTCAATGATTCTAGAAGTTTTTGGTTTGTAGTTTTTTAATATGTTGATGTCAATTTCACATATTGACTGCCAGAAAATAAAAACTACAAGCTTTTTTTTACTAGTTTTTTCAATTTCAATAACAAACTTATTCATTGAGAATGCAGACATTCTAAAAGAATGTTGGATGATTATACAGTACAGAGTGCACCAAGAATAACTGTGATAGAAGTAAAATGAATAAAGAAGCTTTATCATAACAATACTCGGAGACAATGCTTGATTACTCTCCATGAATTCCATACAGAATGGCATGGAATTCATTATCATATATTAATATATTCAGGATTATGTGATGAAGGAAGAACATCAAGAAGACACTTGCATAATAAAGGAATTCAATGAAGTTATCAAGAACTCTTCAAAAATTTCTCATATTAAGAAGACAGCTGGAGTGCAAAAAGTTTTGAAATATGATTCAAAATCCTCAGTTTTGAAATCCCCTTCAAACAATAAGCAGGATCGAGCATTTTTTGAGGAACGTTTTCAGAATTACACCATTGTATTTTGCAACTACATACAGGCATGTCTACATTCCGGCTTGGTAAGTTTTATTATGTGTCATCCGACCTGTAATTACTATATATATATATAATTTGGGTCTGGTTGACAAATACATTACTATTATGAAATTATTTTTTCGAATGTGTATTGAGAAAAAAGTATTTTCAATTTAGTTGACCGTGTTTTCGAGGTTTTGCAAAAGTATATATAACCCTGTTAAAATCAATAATAAATAATTTTCTACAATCTCAGATTCATTAAAAATGTTCTTTCACACTGGATCTACACATTGTTGTGTATACTGAAATGTATACTTTTTATTTTCATTTAGATAACCCGTGCACTAAATTTGCTTGATGATAGAATAAAATCTTTGGATCGGCCAGGAATGCAACCATCAAAAGCAGCATTCGAACCGCAAGTATAGTATTTCTGTTTTTCTTTATAATTGATGTAAAGTGATGTAAAAGGGATTCTTAAACATTGAATGGTTAACTGTACTTAACTGGCGTTAATTTTTTAAGATTGAAAAACTCTTGAATCTATAACTTGTTTTACTATATATTTTTCAGGTCTACGACATAATTTTAAATAGACTCGCCGCCATTTCTCCTACAGCTACAATTAATTGTAATTTAATGCAAAATACTAAAGAATCACATCCTCTTGACATTATTCGGCAACTTTTTAATGTTATGCAAAGATTAAATGTCAAGCCATCACCTTCTGCTTATGCTGCAGCTTTGGAAGCAATGGATAAGTATGTATCTTTAAGACATTTTCTATTACAATATTGTCCACATAATAATTTCACATTTTTCAATTCAAATTAAAGAACACTGGGTCAAAAAATGATGATCTCCCTTTGCTTGCGACAGATTAAAGAAGATGGATATACTTTGGATGAAATAATTAGGTATGTATATTATTACAGCCTTATCATAAAGATATTAATGGATGTTAATATGCCTGATAATTTCATGTTCTATTTATTAAGTCGGCTAATTATAGAATTGACATTTTGACAAATTACATATTTTCTATACCTATGTATTCTGTTTTATAACAAACTTATTGGCAAAATTTGCTTCATTTATTGTTCCTTCATATCTTTTTGTTTTCTAAAGTATTGTTGTATGCTCTACAAAAAGAATTCATTTATTACAAATAGGTTAAGATTTCATAAAGAAGCTATTTTTATATTTGCAATAATTGTACAGCACGAATCCAAATTAAAACATCATCCACTACATTAAATGGCTCAGAAACTAAGATGTGTTTAATATTGTATAAACAGGATGTAAGATGATTCACATATTGTTAATATTTGTTGAACTGCAATGAAGGATATATTAATGACTGTGATTACAGATCGAGTATACCAGGTTCAAAGTCTGCAAAAAATGTGAGAAATGCGATTAAACAAGTAACCGAAATGGAATATTTTTCAACGGCATCTCATCAATCAAATTATGATGTTGAGGATGAAGATATACCTGTTTTAGTTGAAGATATATATAAGAATGTAAATTCATGGTTATCATTACTCATTTATCTTTTACATTTTTTGTTATCAATAAATTCAATCAATGTATTTATGTCAGTTAACTTTTCAATAATTTTAATGCTTTTTCACTCATACCATCTAATAATTATTTCATAAATATATATATTCAATAGTCCCATGATGAAGTTCATTTCAGACAGTTGTGTGTTGTACTGGTCAATTGAAGTTGGACAAATTAATTGATCAATTGACAAATTAATATATATTTAGCTTGGCTAAAAAGCACTGCAAATAATACCAATATATAATAGAATCTATAACATTTCTATATTTGTTTTCATATGAAATAAAATCCTGACATTCTATTCTGAAATTATGATATATCCGTTTATGTCTATGTTTGTGTAAAGGAGTGCAGCCCGAGTGCACTACATCTTTCTTCATCAATGAATTTTCATACTAACTACAATGAACAAATTGAACTGGAAAAGAATAGACTTCTTGAAGTGGATAATATATTAGATTATGGGAATGAATCGACTGATCGTGCAATGAAGGTGTGATAGTGAATGTTATTCCTAATTCATGACTGAAAAGAAATGAAAATTTATTGAATCAGTATTATTAACTTTAATATATATCATACTTCAGATATCTTTATGACTTCTAAGTAAAAGTACATAGTAGGCTAAATGTAATTGGGCATTATTCAATAATTTTGGACGTTCAATATAGTCCTATCTTTTCAGTGACAAAATAATACACAATATACAGATCTAGGCTCGTGCTAGTAATTATTTTGATGATACATTATATATATATAAGTACGTGATGCGTTCTCTAAAATATTCATTCTTGAGAGTTGGATATGCCCAGAAAACTTGTATCAATGTTTTGATATTTGTAAACATGCTGTTTGTATTTGAAGCTAAGCGTTTTATTTTTCTTGATCATTCTTATAATAAATTTATTTTATTTGTATAGAAACGCCTACTCAATGATCTATTGAATGAATGGCGAAAATCTTTACTTTTGAATTTTCGAAGTTTGAAAATGAGAGAAAGACTAAAACATACCTTGCCAGGGAAGAATGATGACAATATGCCTGGTGCAGGTATGAAAATATAACATTATTTTTTATTTGTAGATATGTCTGAAGATGATTGAGAATATATCCATTTTTAGACTTTGCTACAAGTGTACACAATGAGAGTTTTCTTATTTTTAAGGAGCAAAAGCCTATCCATTTTTGTGCCTGTTACCAGATGAAGAATACATTGAAATTATTATCAATCATTTATGTAGCACAATAAATGGAGGTGATTTCACTGCTTTGACAAGTCACAAATTGGGCAAAGAGGTTTATCACAGGTAACTAACTCATTTTGTAGAATTTAAGCTATGGTCGTTATATTTTTTTAAAAATGAACCACTTTTCAGCCCTCAAAATTATTTGTTGGCAATTTATTTCTGTAACACACAAAGATTTGTCAATAAAAAATTGTTTTGAAATTTGTCATATATGAATAGCAAAAATGCAAAATGTACCAAGTGTTTGACTGATCCTTTTTTCGATTTGCCACATAACAAGTAATTGTATCATAAATATATTGTAGTGAGGCTGAATATCAAGATTTTACCTTTACAATTTGTCTTTTTTTCAAATATTATTCCAAAATTGTGGTATGAGACATGTGGAGCGTAAAGAATGAAGAGCTTTATTTCATTTGTAATATTTTTTTCCTATGTAGTTTGGGATTCTTGTTGCAATGTTGTAAACTGCTTGTCTGAGGTAGTCTGACTTTGGTCACACAAAACACTACAGTATCTGTGCTGTATAATCATGTTGCAAGACTTATAACTTACACAGTGTAATAAAATTTATTCCTGCTACAGCATCCTTGCATTATACGCATATGAATGCGCTAGCGCAAAAGCACAGAGCAAGGCTGCCAAACCCACGGGCCGCATGTGGTCCGCCAGACTTTTTTTTTTGCGACCCACCCTATAAGTTTGTTAGCAGACTTTTTATGTTTTTACCATGTTAAAGTTTCATATATAGGCTTAACGTATGTTTCGGGATTTTGATGCGATTCTCCTGTCATCTATCTACACTGCATTCAAATGCCGGATCTTATTATTACGCATGTGTCAAGTCTTGCACCCTGGTGAACATCGATATCAGTTTTTTTTTATTTCTCGCTGAACTGAGCGTTCCTAATCTACGAACTCGAAAGATATTGTACGATCATTAAGGACGAATGCTGAGCGCAATAATGATGAAATTGACTTAATTGCATTGCTGCATATTGGTCACAAATCAGTATATATAGGATATTGGTCCAGCAATCTTTGTAATGTTACTTCATTAAATATTGGTGTTTCAAATTTTACGAAACGGCCCACATAACTTGATATTCCCACGACATTGGCGCACATTATGCTCATTTGAACATTGAGGCAGTATCATAGCTACTGAAAATGAATAAATAGAAACGCTATAACGCAAATATACCCCTCAATGTCCACGCGATGTGTATGTTCTCGCGTGGTCGTTAGAAAACCGCGAGTGTCATGTCCACGCAGGCGCGCAGCCAGGATTTTTAAAAGGGGGGGGTTTCAAAATCGGAAATTGCTAATGCCATCTGTAACAGTCACCGCGATCACGCGCTCGTTAATAGAGCCGCCTTTCTGTCGCGTAAAATGTCCTTACGTATATATTAATTTTATTGTTCACAACGCAACCCGCGGTCTCGACTTTCTATGTCAAAATAAAAACATTACTGCCGTGGACATAAAACAATGAGATAAGCTGCCGTTAGTAAAATCCCGATATCTAATATAAAATCACGTTTACTACAATTTTACTTGATACAATGAAAATAGATATAAAGTATACCAGTAAATCAAAAATACAAGTTCACCGCCTCGAAATCCACGCCGAACAGTCGCCGCGATTACCTCACTTGTTAAAAGAGCCGACTTTTCTAACGAAAAATGATTTTTCTCTTGCGCAAGGTAACCAATCCATGACCGATGAGGGCATATTTAAAATGTCCTGCTTTATTAATTTAATTGTCTTCAATTTAACCTGCGGTTGCGCCGACAAAACAAGAGCCACTCTAAAACACCACGGAATTCCGCATAAAAATGTGTGGTAAACTGCCCTATTATATATTGTTTTGATCCGTATTTTTTCTATTTTGCGAATTCGACAAATTTGAGATGTGCTTGTAACATTGACTCCGTTCAATCGCAATGCTGCCACTCCGATTATTTTTAAAAATAAAAGCTTTCGAAAAATCCGTAAATCTGCTGTAAATTCTCATGGAGTAAAATTTATTTCAGTAGAATAAAAATTGATGGATATACTTCAGATTAATTATCTTATATATCATCACTAACAGGGGAAAAATCGCGTTTTCAACCTTGTTTAATGATGACACTAAAATTTTCGACGACAATTTTGAAGTAATGGATCCCACCCACAATTAACCGTGTTTCGATCTTAATGGCTGTATGTTCCTAAACAGCGAGATGTGTGCCGTGGGCACACGAAATTTTGCGATTTTCAAAAGCGTTTTTGGACTAGAAAAGCGTTTTTAGACTGTCGCGGGACTCAACAAATCTTATACCCTATTGTTTACGGTTTTGTTTTCAGTATTTTATATTGTTGATTTTCAGTCAAATTTAGATCGCGGGCTTACTCCTTCATTTGTCTTTAGAACCTCGCCGCCGATGAACGTACAATAACTTTCACCAAATTCACAATTCCTTGCAAAGTACAAAAACAAAATAATCATCATGTTTATCGTGGCACAAATTTGTGATTTAGAGAGAATAAATACCGGCGTAAAGGCGTTTACGGCCTAAATAACACACTGATGAAAACAATCGGCGATTTTAGCAGAAGGCAATTGCACGCTTTTTCAGTTTTCACAATTCCGTGAGAGTACAAAAATAAAATAATTATAATTGTTCCAGTGGCACAAATTTGTGATTTAGAGAGAATAAATACCAACGAGAAGGCGTTTACGGCCTAAATAATACGCCGCCTTGATGAAAACATACGGCGATTTTAGCAGAAAGCAATTGCACGCGCTATCGGCGACTTTTTCTGTTTTCAAAAAAATTCAAAGGCCCCCCCCCCTGGCTGCGCCACTGTGTCCACGCCCTGTAATACCAGTTATTCGATAGTAAACTGCTACTCTAATATTCGACTTGATATTCGAATAATTTGCCAGCCCTACTCAGTAACCAGAAAGCAATTATTAAATTGACTTGCCTTTTATGTATTATATAAATTACCTGCACTGAAATCAGGACTTAGCTGGTATTAATGTTTGGTACAAATGTTTGCGGCCCGCAACGAATTCCGTCACATTAAATTGGCCCGCGAGACGAAAAAGGTTGAGCAGGCCTGGCATAGAGGAAAGATAGAGGGAGTAACCCCAACTGATAGTTATTTTTTTGAATTTTCAGTATTCTGCCTCTTTAACGCCCTCAAAGAAAGTTTATTTACCAAGTTGCACGTTTGGGTTGGGAATTGTTTGTGGTATTCAACAAAAGAATATTATGTCTCCATTTTGATTGATACATGTCAAGAAAGCAGTGTATTAAAATACCCACCAGGAACGAAACTACTGAAATTGAAATTACAACGTTCTGACTATATTTAAGTTTAGTTTAATATGTTTTTTATTATTTTCATTTGATTTTCTTATTCACTCACTTCTTTTAATATTACAGGTTCCTATTGCGCAGGATTAAAGATAGTGGTATTTATCCTAGATTACAAACAGTTTATAAAAAGTATACATCGTTATACACTAATCCACAAGAACAATTATCCACATTTATCCCAAGAAAATTATGGATGGAGTTGGAGAATAAATATGGTTTGACAAACTTGGTGAGTGATGCTTAGTGTGTAATTTGCATTTATTGAACAAGCATTTGACTTGTAAGGTAACTACCCAATTTTCTGGCAACATACGATTATTTTGCTGATTTCTTGGTGATATTCATTTTCATTTTTTCTAAATTCTAGCACTGTTTCCACATTTTTAATCTCCTATTCTGAACAGGAAGAAAAAGTTTTACCTTGGAATCGATACTGGGTTTTAACTGTCGGAATGAAGTTAATCGAAGTAATGAACACTGTGACATTCATACCTCAGAAATACTGGAGAACAGGAATTTTACACTCTAATGTAGAAAGAGTACCAGCCATATTTAATTCTTATGTTGTTCGTGGGAGAAAACAAGTAAATAACATTTTGGTATTATTTTAACAAAATATTGTCGAATCTTAAAATGATTTCACAATTGTTGCAAAAATCCTTGTTTCATATCTAGCATATGTATTACATTTGAATTGTGTATATATGTGATATTTTATATTTGACAACTGACAGATTTTACCATATTATCAAAATGCATTAATACTCTGGATTATTAACATGATAATTGGCGATCTTCTTCATACCACGTATTTAAAAACATTTTGTTCTGAACAAGCGATAGTTTGGAACAGGCGCGCAGCCAAGATTTTGAAAAGGAGGGGGGGTCAAAATTGGAACTTCCCATTACTGTTTGTAACAGTCACCGCGATTACGTGCTAATTAAAAGATTTGCCTTTTCAGCGTATAATGATTTTTCTATCGCATAAAATATTTAATTCATGATAACTACAAGATTCTAAAATGTCCTTATAATAATTTAATTGTGTCCAACGTAACTCGAGGTTGCGTTTTCTTACGCCAAAATGAAAACATGTCTACCCTATAATACCACGACGATCTGTGGACATAAAATATGAGAAAAACTGCCTGATGTTTTTGATTTTGATACGTATTTTTGCAATCTTGCGAACTCGTTATCGCTGTTAGAAAAATCTCAATATCTGATATAACATCCTGTAGAGTACAATTTTACTTCATACAATGAAAATAGATATAAAGTATATCAGTAAATCAAAAATACATATTCATCGCCTCGATGAATTCCACGGCAATCCGCGGACATAAAAATGTGTGGTAAACTGCCCGATTATATAATGTTTTGATTCGTATTTTTGCTATTTTGGGAATTCAACAAATTTGAGATGTATTTGTAACACTGACTCCGCCCAATCGCAATGCTGCCCACTCTGTGATCATTTTTAAGATGAAATCTTTCGAAAAATTCGTAAATTCGCTGTAAAATCTCACAGAGTAAAATTTATTCCATTACAATAAAATTTGATTGAATATACTTTAGATCAGGGGTGTGCAACAGGCGGCCCGCGGGCCATAACTCGGCCCGCCAAGACAATAAGTGTGGCCCTTGTCAACACTCAGATATTTTCCCACTAAGCATCAAATTCTAACCTGACAGTTTTTGTTTAAAAAAGCGAACACACGGGTTAAAATCCATAAGTTCAAGTCTTTCGTCTTTTTGCCTTTATTACTGTAGGACTAAGCTATAGCCTTTTCGTGGTGAGAATTTTTTAATTCATTGTGTACCTGAAAGAAATTGAATTATATGAATGGCCCAGCTAGATGTCAGAAGTTGATTATATGGCCCGCCGACAAAAAATGTTGCACACTCCTGCTTTAGATTAATTTTCGCCTTGCCAACCTTGCATAATGTTAACACGAAAATTTCCGACGGCAATTCAATATAATGGATAAAAAGGCAAATCGCGCCCACAATTAACCATGTTTCGATTTTAGTGACGATATGTTTCTGAACACCGATCCAAGATAATGTGTGCCGTGCCATTACAATAAAATTTGATTGAATATACATTGGATTAATTATCTTATAATATCATCACAACCCGGGAAAAAGAGGCGTTGCCAAAATTTTCGGCGGCCTTTCGAAGTAATAGATAAAAATGCAAATCCCACCCACAATTAACTGTATTTACGTTTTAGTATGTTTTTTTTACACGAAATTTTGCGTTCTCCAATGCCTAGAAAAGCGTTTTCAGACTGTTGCGGGCCTAAACAAAACTTATATTGTTCACAGTTTTATTTTCAGTATTTTATATTGCCGCTTTTCAATCAAAACATTTGCGTTGCCGGTTTACTCCATTTTTTCCTTAGCATCTCTCTGCCGCTGAGAGAGAGATTTACTTCACAAACAATGAACGTATAATACCTCTCGCCGATTCACAATTTTGTGAGAGTACATAAATAAAATAATTATCATCGATATTGTGGCACAAATTTGTGATTTAGAGAGAATAAACACCAACGTAAAGGCTGATAATAAGGCCTAAATAACACATCACGCTGATGAAAACAATTGGCTATTTTAGCAACATGCAATTGCACACGTTATTGGCGACTTTTTCAGTTTTAAAAAATTTCCATTGTTCGGGGGTTTCGACCCCGAACAATTTTATCAATGAATCAAATGTATAATATTGACTGCATCTTTTAATTTAAATAATGAACCTACATACAAAGTTTTCTTTACATGTTTGGTTATCATACTCACTTTTGATAATCAATACATGAATTTATCATTTAACTATATTTATTTTACAGTTTGGAATGACAATACCTCATCCACAGTTCCGAGTTCTTTTGCGAGAAGGACTGGATAAACTGATATTCGAAAGTGAAGTTGCTCCCATGGTCGTTCCGCCCAGGCCATGGTGTGGAATATCACATGGTGGTCTGCTTGTTAATCAAGGTATCATCTGTTTGAGAGAATTTATTTGTAATTATGTGAGGTGAATTCATATAGTGAGATAGTACATCAGATGATTTGTTTTTGGCAAATTATCCGAGTTAAATGGCATTGTTCTAAAATTTAGAATCTGTTAGGGTCAGTGAATTGAATGGTATTTAGTAGTTTGTACCAAACTCATGCGGGATTTGGAAAATTTCTAAAGTTTATAGGCTGGTTTAAAAATTAAGCTAGTTTAAAAATTAAGCTTACACATCAGAATATTTTTGGGTTTATTTTATTGTTTTTGGGTATTTTTTATTGTTGAATTGTTATACCAGGATTTTCACACTAATTTTTCTGACAATAAGAAATTGGACGTTGAACCTTTTATTTGTAAATAGCTCCTATGTCTTTGAAGAACTGTTATTATTCTAGTTTGACATGGTCCCTCATCTTTTACTATCTTGATGAGAAATTGTGGTCATGGGATTCCAATAACAAATTATTAACATATAAGATATAACACTCATATTGTTAGGTTCAACATACTTACGATATGTGTTGTCTATGTATAGAATATGCATGACTATCATATATCACCAAAAGTGTCATGTTGTAAGCCCCAACTCTTTTTGTTTCTAAAATAGTTGAATTTGTACGATCTGGTGCAGTGGATGAAGAATCTGAAGAAAACATTAAGCAGTCATCGGGTCTTGAAGATAAAAAACTGGCGCCAGTATTTGATGCATTGAATGTGCTTGGATCTGTTGCATGGATATTGAATAAGCCAGTGAGATGCTACCATATGTTTTCTACATCATTTTCCTTGCGCGTCAAAATTATATTGCACTAATGGAAATCCATCTAAATGAATTTAACATAGCTGATTACGGCATATTTATAATAGCACATAATCTTTTTTTTATTTCTCTTTATACCGAAAATATATTTCAAATTTACCATCCCATTGTAGATTGACCACCATAACTTTAAAAAATAATTAAAAATATATGCAAAAATTTGACTATTGTGTTGAATGCTGTTCAATCTCATTATATACATATTTTTATATGACGCTCAATCATGTCGTTCACTCCGCATCCAAGCCAGATTACGCTGTTCTACAGTTCTCAATCTGTCAATTCACGGCACACCAGCTGGATTTACTTACATGTGTCTCAAATGGAAAGATTTGATAATTTGGTTTATGGAATAATCTTTTTTCATGTCATATTCCAGCTTCTCGATCTTCAAATAAAGTATTTTCGAAATAATGGAAGCAAGGAGTTGAGTATTCCACAACCTTCAAGTCAAAGTGAAGCTATTCCTGATTTATCTTTGATGTAAGCGTTGTATTTTGGTATGTTAATTAAGGTTAAATAGCTGGATAGTGATATAATATGTTATAATATTGAGCTCATTGAACACTAGGGTTCTCAGCCTTTGATTTTTAAAAAGTAGAAAGACTTTCAGATCAGTGTTTTTTTAGTTGCTGTGCTGATGTTCAGTGTGTACTGCTGGTGACACTATTGCTGCAACCTGACATATTGTCCAAACCATACTCATGTATTAATTGCTTGCTTCTGTAAAATGCGTACCTGTATAGCATTCATAATTTACTAGGACTGGTAGCAAACAAGCATATCATTAGATTCATATAAACTTTTTAACGCTCTTGTATGTAAACTTAAATTTTGTGGTCTTATGTAGCACAAATATTTGACATTTTGAAGAATCAAATATGAAAAGCAGCTCATTTTCAGCCTCCTTCGTATTGGTATTAAATTATGAGGTGATGAGTAAAGTTCATCAATGAGCTATCAGCTATATTAGATCATTTCTTGAATACCATAAGATTGTAAATTACAACCGCTAAAAATTAATGATTTATTATATAAAGATTATTAAAATGAAACTAATAGTATTATATTCTCATTTTTTCTTCTGCAAGATCACCAAATGAAACAGCTAAATACACCAAAGCTAGAGAAAAGGCGATTGAAGTTCGAAAACAAAGGTGCGAGATGCATAGCCTTTTTATGGAAGCATTGTACAAGTTATCTATTGCAAACATGGTACGTCTTTTTCTATTTAATAATGCTTACCGTACATCTAATAGTAGTAATGAGTAGGGCTGTCTAAGCGAACCAAATATTCGAAATTGAATCTAATCGCAAATTATTTGAATCTTTTTCTGGCTTATTTGCGAATCTCTAAAATTAGCTACATAAAGCGGAAAAAGTCTCAAGGACCACCTTTTGTTTTATACGACGTTTTTTATTGGGCAAGCGGCTGTTTATTGGGCAAGCGGCTGCGCATAAGTTTCCCCGATATTTCTCTCGCTTTGCTGGAAGAAGGTGTCTTTTGTAATACTGATGGCATTTACATAGCCATTTCATGCATGGTCATAACTAAAGAATAATTATCGGCAATGACGTTTTTTGAGAGAGTACACAAGGTGAAAAAGGCAATTTAATATCACAGAAAACACTAATTCTATAAATAGAATCGATTTGAAGTTTTTGAGTTAGTAATCATAGCAACATGGTGCAGCTTACTTGCGGCTGAAACAGGCATTGAGGGGTTCTTATGATGACAATTCTTAGTATTATGGATCTATTACTAAGACTTGCACTCTTGCATATGGGTAGCTGTTGTACAGTAACAATAAGTTCATCATATAATAATGTCATCAAACTAGCTACAATTTTGAATGTCTTGGGCAACAGTTTTTACTTATCAATTTTAATCGGTAAGTATGTTGATAGGTATTTGTCTGTATGTCTGTCTGTTAGATGCACGCGATATCTCACGAAAGCAAGATTGAATCTGCTCCAGATGTGCATGTGCATTCATCATATGTCGGACCAGAAGCCTATTGATTTTGGATGAATTATGTCGTATAATTAGCGGGTTATTAATTAATTAGTGATGGGACACAAGGTGTCACTATGGAGTGGGAGTGCTGTTTTGGGGGATCACTTAAATTTCGACCGCTTCGGTCTCTGACCGATATTCTCGTATTTATATTAATGGTTGTTTATCATTTTGCGGAAGATTACACAAAAAACCTCAAGAATTAAAACTAACGATAATAGCAATAAAATAGCACCTACAGGCTTCGCATGTCCTATTAAAGCAATCTATTGGAATTGAGTAAATAACGTATTCAAAGTCTTTGCAATTTTCAACTCACAACACTCAGTTTTCGAAAACTTAATATTGGAGATCTCTCATTTTTTTGAGCAATTCATATGGGCATGTGATCTCTTTTTTTTTTATACCCTCTTGACATATATCAGCAGTAATTTAGATGTAACCGTGTATACATTATTACACTATTGAAGAGGGAGTTTTTATTGTACAATAGAAACAGATTTAGGATTGCGTAATAATATTCGATTATTTGGTTCGATTCGACAGAATTATTCGATTCGAATCAAAAAAATATTCGATTTTGGACAGCCCCAGTAATGAGTCAGTTTAAATACTGTAATTGAATCCTATTTCTCCTTTTTTCAGTATCGGGATAATATTATATGGTTTGTTCATAACATCGATTTTCGAGGAAGATTTTATCCAGTTGCAAGACATCTCAATTATATGGGTATGATTTTGGTTGAATTAATTTAAAACCAAATAATAAAAAATTTGTGTCCACTCCAGGAAAGAGGTGTCAACACCCTATTATGAATCAATAATGAAAGCGTTATAATAGCAAGTTTGCTTGGTTGTTTCCTACTAAAGTGATGAATTATTCTTTTAGGAAGTGATCTTTACAGGTCACTTTTCCTCTTTGCTGAGGGACGACCACTGGGAGAAAATGGATTAGACTGGCTCAAAATTCATTGCATAAATCTTACTGAATTCAAAAAACAAGATTGTATAGAAGACAGACTTTCATATGCAAATGAGGTAAACAGAATTGCAGTTTGGGTATAAGAAATTAACAAGTGATTCAAATATGAGATATGTCATAATCATAGCACGAGACATTTGAATATTCTGAGAGGCTGCACCCCGGTTTGTTCCAAATTAATATGATATATTAAATTGTTAAATAATTCTGAATAACACTCATTTTCAACTTAGCAAGGATCTTCATTTTTGCTGAAATATATAGATCAGTAATATTCCAACTAAAGTCTTTATTACATAGGTTATTCATAAAATATTTGATTCTGCTGACAATCCTGAAAAGCCAGACGCATGGTGGAAAACATCTGACAAACCGTGGCAAACTTTAGCAGCATGTATTGAAATAACAGCTGCCTGTAGATCCCCGGACCACACCAAATACATATCTCGGTTGCCTGTCCATCAGGTAAGTGTGCTTTGTTAATCTATTTTAGATGGAGGTTATTGTAGCAGGATACTTAATAAAAATAAGAATAATAACTTTTAAAAAGTCATACTTGGGTAATTATGTGACAGACAATTAATTTTTAATTAAATTTTCATGACGTGAAAACTAGAGATGTGCCGCCATCATATTTTGCTGATACCAATGAAAATGTGTGAGTCTGGTTCACCGAAACTTCAAATTGTCGATATGCCGACACCGATATTCTAAGTATGTGTAATTACCAATAATGTTCTAGCATCACATTCTAGATGAGATCAAAGAGCTGAATATATCGGATAACTCGGTGTGTTGGGCCGATAGAAATGTCAATACAATTACCGGTACTAATATTAAGAAAAAGGCCGATATTGCCAATACATTGATACATCTACAATGGAAACCCTTTTTCAATTGCAATTTATATTTAAATACGACTCTATTCGTTATCTATTAAATAGTTTCCACATATTCTATTTTCTTGCTTCCAGGATGGTTCATGCAATGGACTACAACATTATGCTGCACTAGGAAGAGATGTTTTAGGAGCCAAACAAGTATGTTTTAATATACTTACTAGTTTAAAACAAAGGTGAACAAAAAGAATGAGTTTTATACTAAACCTATCATGGAAATGGTGATATTATAATACTGCATTTTGAAGAATTCAAATTTGAAACAACTATTTTCCCATGTTCTAAAATTTGTAATTTGTTGTTCCAATCATACAAAATTGTTTGTGTGCACTTCTTCGCCTATCAAAATGTCATGATATGATGAAATAGAATAAAATTTTAATACAATATTCTAAAGGTGAATTTGTCTCCATCAATTGTTCCTCAAGATGTATATACTGGTGTTGCTGATAAAGCAGAAGAACTTCGAAAAATTGATGCTGAGAATGGTCATGCCATTGCAAATTCTTTAGAAGGATATGTTCGACGTAAAATTGTTAAACAGACTGTAATGACCACTGTTTATGGTGTAACAAGGTCAGTAACATTAACTTGAAGTAGTGTAGATGGCTTGTAGGTAGAGCTGGGCGTTTCGACACTGTTTCGAAACACTGATATGTCGAAACGGCGGCATTTCGACCTTCGAAACAGATATTATGACGCCATAGCAAATGCAACCTGAAATTAGTCAAGGTATCATTCAGGGATGTCCAATTCGAATTTAATATCAAAATTTATTCGAATATCGTGACTCTCAAATATCGTTTTTAGTGTTTATAAAAATATTAAATATCGCGCAAACGTCCTAGCGCCGCCGTCCGCGTTTTGATTGAAAATTTTTACAATCATTTCATTTTATGTTTTAATCGTATTCGAAGACATTCTTTGCGAGGCGCAATAAATTACTGCCGACATAAAAGGATTTAAGTCAGCGCCGACTTGAAGTACTTACTTATAACACGTCGAGGAAGTTTTTAATTGAAAATATTTTACAATTATTATGGTATATTCCAACATAGTTGAGATAGTCTGGGTAACTGCGCAATAAATCTAAAATCAAATCAAATCTAGCTCAACGATGTCGATGTCACGCTGACGATAAACAGTCAGGGTCATAACGAAAATTAGCCGTATCAAAAACTCGAGTTATTGTTGATTTTACTGTATAATTTAAACATTCCACCTAGTTGTTCTTTTTTCTGTGCTTGCCACGATACACCACAATTCATAAATACTGTAATGTTTACCAAGTCTATTTCCTTAGAGCAAAAAATTAACTAATTTCAATGAAAGCCCAATTCCTATGTTCCTGGAGTTTAGAATGTATTCGGAATTCAGAAGATTCAAAAATATCTTTTTCCAGAATGTATTTGAAATAGTCAGGTACTCGGTTATGGCTCTCCCTGGTATTATTACCACACTGGATCACAAGGATTTGTGACATCGGATAAATTAGAAAATGACCCCACCCATTACATTAGATGAGGGCAGGGCCGCGTTGAGAGGCCCCATGCTATGCTGCTTGTGAGCCCCATCTCTAACATTGACGTAATTCGTGCATTATCCTGGTGCCATTTGGCCGCTGCTTTGTCATTGAGCAGAAACATTCGTGGAATTATCATTATTGTTTTATCCTCTCGAATTAGCATCCAGTGCTATCCTTTTGTGGATTTGATTGTGGAAAATATATGTCATTATACATTAAATTCGATGGGTAATAATGGTATCATATTTTACTGTTTATGACAAACGTGTGTTTCGTTTCGTTTTGAAGGCAAAATTTCGGTATTTCTTAAAATTCTGAGGTTATGCAATTATGAAGCTATACTGTAGTGGTCTCTGAGTGACCAACCAAGGTGTTGAAGCGTACTATTTGTACTATTTTGTGCACCACCATTGGTGTAACATATAACAGTCAAGCATGTACCACTAATAAAATACAACTTAAACACTACCACTCAGTAAGACTGTAAATTAGCAACAAGCACCTCACATTGTCCATTACCACTTCATCGCTTTGGCGAGTTACTAGTCAATATACAGGCATACCAATTGAATACTATTTTCTTGTCTATTGCACACAAGGATCAGATCATATGGTTTCTGAACCTCGTACTTCTTTAGAACACTCTGGATCCTCAGAGTGCTGACACTAAAGGATATCTTGCTGATGTCATAAATATGACATGTAATCCATAATTCATCAATAATTATTCTCAGATATGGTGGAACACAGCAAATCAAAAAGCAGCTTGCTTATTTAGAGGATGAATTTCCTCGAAGTGAAAGTTTCAGAGGCGCTAATTATCTTGTTGATAAAGTGCTGAACAGTATTGATGAAATGTTTTCCGGGGCAAGAAGCATACAAGTATGTTTATATTTCAACTTTTTAAATTACTAGCTCACTGCTTTTAGGTTAAAATACTTTTATTGAGTGGTTATTGAATGGACTATTGAATGGTTTGGGTATTGGTGAAGTGTAGGGATGGGCAATATAGAATACCGAATCCGGAGGATTCGAATCCCAAAGTATTCGAATCCAACGGGATTCGATAACAGGATTCGGTTTCCGCCTCTCCGGCGCCATGCGTCAATTTTTGTATTTCGGCTTTCTAATTTATCAATCATAGACGAGCGTTTTTCTCGCTTGGAAATCTCTCTCGTTTAATTAAACTTGTGTCTGCTCGCAAAGAACCCGTAAATCGGTAAACATCAGACACTGTAATTTCAATCGGCATATTAAGGACAAGATGTCGGCAATATAACCTCACGGCGAAGACTCGTTATTGCACCATTTTTCCGTTTTCCCGCTTTGCTATCTAGCTAGCGTATAATAATAATAATTATTTGTGCCGACTTACTGGTGATATTCCGATAATCTGAATGCAACAATCTTTAATTGTTTACAGACGTGCCTTACTTCATTTTAAATTGATTTTTTGCGACCTACGAGTTTTCCCAAAAAATGATGCACGTAAACCAAAAGCCAGGCATTAAATGTTATAACATTACTTGCGATTGATTTAGATCAAATATTAGTTACGAATAATTTTATCATACCATTTTCCGAAATACAAAGTTATATCGCAAAACGGGAACATCTGTCACATTTAAATTTCACTCTCAAAAGATTACATATTTCCCAGTCCGTTTCTATCGTTCAAGATAGACGCACGTTTGATCGACTGTCTGTAGTATTTTAGTCGCTGATAAACTTTAAAAAAAGTTGCCGCGTCTGGCGAAGATAGTGACATATTGAATTTGAGTAGGACTAAGTCTGTGTAGATAATGATTAATGATAACGTTTTTATCGTTCAAGATAGACGCACGTTTAATCAAGTGTCTGTAATATTTTAGTCGCCGATGAATTTAAAAAAAAGGTGCCGCATCTGGCGAAGCTAGTGACGTATTGAATTTGAGTAGGGCCAAGTCTGGGTAGATAATGATATGTAACGATAATCATAAAAAATGAATTAGTCTTTAGATGTTATTACCTAAATAACTAAGTACGAAATCGCGTTTACGGGAACTTGGTTTTACGTGTCTCGCTCGCACAGAATAAAAAGTTGATTTTAATTGATAGCGGTTAAATCTAATATTTTACAACGGCGCATAGGTTGCAGTGGCCACACGCTGGTTCTGCATCTAATTAATTCTCAGCGGGTGTGTTTCAGTACACTCGGCAGACTTACATTAATAATGATTTAACGCCGTTTCATGACTATTTTTGTATTTAACCGCTTACTATTAAAGTGTGTAAAGCGTGTCTTAATTTAGGATATCAGTATTTATTAGTATTTAGGGATTACATACATTTGGAACAATTGGAGGCAAAAAAGATTGTAATATTTCTCAATTTTATTGTCCTGGGAAATGCCTGTTTAGTATCAAATGAAATCCAATGTTCAGGACATTTCCAAACAGATAATACATTTATAGTAAGTAATACTTTGGCAATTTTACAACATCTAAATCCAGCAATGTGGAAATTCCCACTATTTGAATAAGTATGAAAATAGAATAGGATTCGGTATTCTGGATTCGATTTAACTATTCTAGAATATTCTAGAATAGTAAATTATTCTACATTGCCCATCCCTAGTGAAGTGATATTTGCTTTTCATAACATAAACCTGTGAATCTGTGAAGATTATGGACCCAGAATTAGAATCGCTTTAATTGAATTAAGCAAGTCATGATATATTCCAGAAATTAGTAAATATGGAGGAAAATTGTTTATTTCCAAGAAAAAACAATTAACTTTGATAATTTTTTTAAATGCCCACACAACATCGAGGGTGAAATAAATTGGAAAAATAAGAGTAGTTCCATACTTGTCTTCAGATATTAGAGGCTGCCTGTATAAGACTGGTTCAGAGCTAAACACATGAAAAAGCATTGCAAATTTTCAAATTGTACAAATTTTGCATTTTTTTGTATATGTGATATTTCTTATGGTGGTAACTGGTTACATTTTTTTTTCAGGCCTGGCTTACACAGATTGCGGATGTAGTTAGTAAATTGGGTTACCCAGTTGACTGGATAACTCCACTCAATATGAATGTAGTGCAACCTTACTACAAACAGACATCAAAATTCATTTTATCGCCTGTACAACGTCTACAAGTCAATGAAAATGTGTTGAGGTATTTTATGTAAAATAATATGTGAAAATAGATCATTAGTGCATTTAATAGACTTGTTAAGATAGTGTACATTACGCATGTGCGTTTTGAATCGTTGGTGAGAGCTTGCACGATCTGGCTTGAAAAATCATGAAATTATGTCCAAAGAAAAGAGGTCTTGGCCGCCGAACAAAAATGTATTTTTGAATGACAGTTAGGCTGTGTAGTGAATCACTGTGACAAAAGTATTTTATTATATCAACTATTTGCTTTAATGTTCAATAAAACAACTTATACTTGTTCCAGTCATATAGAATGGGGAAACTTCATGTTATGGCATTCTCATTTGGATATTTAAACTGTTTCTAAAAAAATTTAGTTTGCCATGTTCAAGAAAGCAAAGAAACGGATTTCCACCCAATTTTATTCATTCTCTGGATTCTACACATATGATGTTAACTGCATTATACTGTTACAGGTAGATCATTTTTACCTATGAAATTGCTTGGAATAATGTAACATAACGAAAATTAAATTAGGACTGATATAATTTTTCATACTCTAAATATATGAAAAACTTCACCAGGCAAATTTGTTAAGATCCTGATTAGTTTTTAAATAGCTCATCAAGTTTCATTTTTTATAGAACTTGGTTTTGAGATCTGAGACTTTGTTACAACTGGCATAGAATGAATGTTTTTAAAGATGATCTAGGTTTTGTTTCGAATTAATTTTCCAGAGAAGGAGTCACATTTGCATCAGTACATGACTGTTTCTGGACACATGCGTCTTCCATTGAAACTATGAGTAAAATTTGTCGGAAGCAATTCATAGCACTTCATTCTCAACCTATTTTGCACCATCTTGCTAATCACCTAAGAAAACATCTGCCACAGTAAGTATGCTACTTCAAGGCATATCGATCTTTTTTGAGTCCGTTGCCTCAAGTGTGCTCAGCTGCATTATTGCATTGGCTGTTTCCAAAGACCGTTTTCAGGTACAAGTGTTCAATCATGCAAAAACCAAATCATAATATAACAAGAATTAGGAAATAAAATGTTTCGCATTTAATTCACTTTGCACCTCATGTTTTTTTTTTATATTTTAATGCTATTGGATCAATTTATCCCTATCATTCATTTTAAGAAATACTGAGGAAAGCACCACAACCCCACTGGAAGCCAAGCTGTTGGATCTATTAGATAATGTTCCCCAACAGGGACATTTCGATCTAAATGATGTTCAGGACTCTACGTTTTTCTTCAGTTAGCAATTTCTCGCACTGAATAAGTACTGCCATATATTTTATTAAAATATTGCTCTACAGAAATAGCTCTGATCTTTGATGAGATAAATAGTTAGGCTATCGATGAGGGGACTTGTGCAGCTAGTTGGAGGGAATTTTTGAAGTCATTAGTTTGCACCAGATCCACCACTATGCAGATAATGCAGTCCATGGACAAGTTAGGTTGCTGTTGCTGTGTAGGTGACAGAAAATGACTCTAAATGAGAATGAGATCGGGGTGTAATATAATTATATAAGAGTTTATGGCGCTCCAGAAGTGTGTATGCCAATATGGAGGTAATTAATTTTGTTCAGACTATTTTACATCGAGTTGTGGAAAGGTACTGAAACCTTTGGGCAGGGTGTATATTTACTTGGCTAGCAGAGACAGTCCGAACTCTTAATATAACTAAAATGAGGAAAACTGGAATAAATTTATGACCTAACCTGGTACACACACTACAGGAGTACAGAATTTATATGTTTGGGTGAAATTAATTTTGTTAGTCATGCCTGCGTGTTTTCTGTCTGATGGTGTTGGAATCTTACCTTCTACGTGATCATGTTAACTCTTTATCTCTTTACAATTCTGTTTCTTGTCATTATATATCTTCGTAAGTACAATTTGGTACTGTTTGTGTGTGTGGGACCATGGTAATGAATCCCCCATGAATAGCTTGCACATCTTTGTAATAAATACCTACAAATGGCTTTTCGCTAAATAAACCAGGAAATCGAACTGATTTTAACCTATTTGTTCAAAACAATGAATTAGTGTTTTGCACGTTCTGTCGTCTCGTGTTCAGTTCGTTTCCCGTTATATTTAAATACAAATACACTAATGAATAATGATACTTTTACAATTTTGCTTTTTGAAGATTTATATTCAGCGATGTGATGGATGGATTCTCACTATTCACTAGATCAAGAATTTTATAAACCCGCTGAGTTAGGATGGACAATTCCGAGTAATCTACTATTCTAGAATACCCTAACATTTTCCGATGTTTTAATTGTAGTAGTTAAGACTTTATTTCGGTTAAAATACGAGGAAAAATCCATAAACGGACTTGAAAAAAATAGAGTATCGTAAATAAAAAAAACAATACATATATAAAAACGTTATAATAACATAAAAGTAAATAATGCGCCACACAAAATCCAATTTCGAACCAAAAACTATTTGTCCAAGTGCAGAATAAAATATTTCGCGTTCGGTAATGTACGATATATTTTTCGCTAGTATTTTTTCATTTTAGTTAAACCGCCCTTTAAATTTAAAATAGTAGTAATTTTTTTATCTGCGTTCTACTGAAGCTTGGACGTTTGAAAAAACATGAATAATGAAATGCCATGTTGAAGATAATAGGCTGGTAATTTCGAAAATAAAGTTGGAAGTTGTTACTTCAGTTAGATATTACTTAAATATAAAAGTATAACATTTTGAAAAATAAACAAGTTGATTCTCAAATTAGCGGCGGAATGTAAATTTCGCTATGCTTGAACACGATCTGTGCAAGATCGATAATAAAAAAGTATTTATAGTTTATCCGACCATCGTGGCTACTCCTGCATCCATGGGACATGGTTGCGACGTACCCTTGAGAAAGAACTCGCTGGTACATCCTGTTTTCACGACTTCACATTCTGGTGGTACGCTTGAGTAATACATCTCACTGCAAAAAAAATGATCACGATCAGGTGGTTTGATGAATATTTTGACAAGATACCCCAAACTCATATTGCATCCAAAAAAATTTAGTATTAAATTGCGCGCTCTCTCTGGTTCCAAATCCCAATATTGATCTCATTGACTATCCAAGTGACTACTCCCTATTCAGATACTTGTCTCAGCATATTAGGGAAACCAAATAGGTTAAACTAGAAATTTTAATGATATCATAGGAGAATCGTGAATAAGACTGTTCAGTTACTTACGTATTACAGCAAGATGAATATGATACAATGTAGTAGTAGTAAACTTCTTGGTGTGGTACTTCTTCAAGAGTCATTGTAATGTAGTTCAAAGTGTGACCAGGGGCAGGAGGGCATTTAAATGCGTCTGCTTCCTCTTTTGTGATTTCGACTTCGTCACTTACCAACTCGGGATCGGGTATTATTTCAGCGGTAATGCTGCTCTTCTTTAAGCTAAGTTTTGGTTTTGCCTCTTTGCATATCCGCTGAAAAATGTAGAATATATATGTCGATCAAGTTTAATACCGGTTGCAAAGATAACTTGGAACTCCAGTAACATTAAAATATATCTATTATTTGGATAATGCATTTTATGAATTATCGAGAAGTATATAAATAGTGTTTGTGATCTAATATTGCAATCTTTAGAATCGATTGGTCGACGTTGGAAAATTTAACGTAACTTGTGAGTAGACTATGTGGAGTACTCACAACATAGTTTTTTTCAACGAAGCATTTACACACGTCGCACGGTTTCGATTCTGGATACCAATAACCATCCTCATCCATGGGTGGCAAGCAGGTGGGTTCTATGTAACAGTATGATGCTACCTTGTTGATGAGACATGACGCGAAAACGATTGCTGCAACTATGTGTATCGCCTACAAAAAAAATAGTTCGTTTCAGTTCCACAAAGAACATTAGATAGAACCCTAGAAATGCATTCGTATTTGAGACCACTCAGGGTACATCTAGATTCGATAGTTACCTTTTGCATTTTATATTCTTTGTGAATTCTGAAATCTTAATAAGGGTTGTAGGTTGATACTTCAAATGCAGTGTGCTGCCAACTAAGTTATCGCTAAGATACAATCAGTTTATATACAGACTACTACAAGGCCTCAAGGTTATTGATTTTACAAGCATTACGCGTTTACAGGTGTTGCCAAAACAAATAGATGTAGCTCTGACGTAAGGTCTAGGATATTTTTGTGACGAATTTAAAAATAACCAGTTGGTTTCGGTGGAAATGAAATATGACGAGCGAACTGGAAAAAACAGTTCTTCATTTTCATGCCTCAATTGCGATACCCATTGTCAAATTATGCATGGTCCATTATGTTAAAAAGCATCTGGCAGAACGTGATAAAAACAAACATGAAAGTGTCTCTTTCAACCGGTTTCCGGTATTTTGTTGTTGTTTAGTAATCTGACTGGGGTTGAGTTTGTTATTGAGGTCAAACTCAATTGAAGATTTGTTTTCAAAATTCTTATTTCCATGATATATATAAACATCGTCGGATTAGATTTTTACGTGATTATCCGTAATGAATACGTTAGGAATATGTAGGCTACATATACAACTACATGAATATGATAAACTTGACGTTTGAAAAACTGATATTCATTTTGAAAGAACTTTGTATCTTCATGTTTTTGTCCTATTATTTTTCTGCACACACATACAAAACCAAGAAAACGAGCTTAAAGTTCAGTGAGATATTTATAAATTAATGCTTCCCATAGGAAAATATTTATAATAGCATCTATATTTACAAAAATAACCATATTAGGTATACTGTATATCAACAATGTTCTCAGAAAATATTTCCAAGAAATGTTTTTGTTTAGAAATAATACATTGTTTATGTTTTGGCCTGAAAATAGTAGAAAGGATGTTTTTGTCATTGTTTACAGTTTAGTGTTCTGTTTAACCTCGAAGTCAATCGGGTTTATAACACATACGTAATCAAGTAATTTTTTAATTTTATTATTTAAAATAGGAATGGCGTTCCCAAGCAGCTAGTTTCCTCTTGTACGAGCGGAAGTTGGGCAACCGGCGTTTTAAAGTTAACAATGCATTAATCAACAGCATGTCCTACTATGCAATCTACACACTAGTTCTGAGTATTACGTTAAAATTCGAAGTAATATTTTAAAATTTTTGCGAAAATTTGAGATGCATTGGATGAACATACAACATACTTTCAGATTTAAAGAAGCTTTCATATACCAGAATGGTTTTTATTTGGTTGTAAAATTGCATATCAATACGCGTGGGCATAGGTTAGGTTTAAACGTATAAAAAAGCAAAGTTTCAACAAATACCATAGTAGAAACATGGGAATCGAACTGGCAATCGAGTTGAATGCAATATTACGAAAATCCCACACTGATGTAAAATATTATTTTGGTATATTTGTGTCCGAGAGGACCCGCAATAATAGTTAAACCTGCGATAATATTTATGGTCAAAACTTGTTTACGACTTTTCAAGATTCCACTGTATATACATACAATTATACCTTGCAGGCTTACGTTGTGGCTTGAACAAACTAGTTTTGTCTCAAAAAACTTTTTCCTTGAAATTGAAGTTAACTGTAGAATAATCACAAATACTGATTGCAGAATACAAGTAAATCATGAAAATTTCCCCAAAATACAATTAGAAAATATTTTTCAAAATTGAAGCTGCATGTCCCACTGACGTGGGAGTGGCCCACAAACGAAACTGGCTTCTTCAACGGTCCGCTTTTAAGGCTCTTATTTAAAACGGGTAAGTCCTCGGTTGAGTATTATATTCTTCAATATAAAGATTGTGATAAAAAAATAAAATGACTTTAAATCAAGATTAAATTGATGCCTGCGTTTGCGATGCATGTCGTTCGAGAAATCCCAGTATAGTGAACAATTGTAAAATCGAAACGCGGTCAGCGCGTCAGACGACTAATCAACGGCCGACACGGACATTGGTGAGCTTGTCATACGTCCCGGTTTAGCGGGGACATTCGCGCTTTTAGCGTGTTTTTCCACCGTTCCGGCGATAGACTCAAATGTGCCGGTTTTGCATTATGACAGTCATCAATAATTTTTCAATTTGATGCTATTACAAAAAAAATTTTTTAACGGACGCAGCCATACTGGCAAGCAGAATTAAATTTAGACACACTCTGAAAATGACTATCATGCTTATGAAATCTGTCATTATTGGCACAAAATGTTCTATTGTTCATTGCGAACTTGTTATGTCTAAATTTTGAACTGTAGCGTGTGTATCTTTTATGCTAAGATACAGAATCAACTTTCTTTCGTTGCATTCATCGATATGGATTTCATTCTCTCATTTGTATAAGTTTATATATTACACATATAGCTTTTTTCAATGTAACATTAGCTTATTTTAGCAATTGCCTTCGCAGGTTAGCATCATGAACGCCAGTCAAAGTTCTGTCTTTAATCAACTCAACTTTGAGATCACCAAATTCACAAGACTTGGCTTTATTTTTCAAGTCTACAATAAATGATTGAATAGGTTCACCTGGCGTCTGTGCTCTCGTGTTAAAGTGATGTCTCGTTAGTCCTATGTTTGACTTGGGTAAGCATATTTCAGCAAATTTTCTCTTCAGGCATTACGTCACATTCAGCTGTCTCATATGTAAAAGATTCTTCTTTTTCTATGCCCTCTTTCCCAATCAAATTAAGTAATGTGCAAGCTTTAGCTTTTTTAGTTTTATCACTGTGTAGTGCTCCTTTAAACGTATCGTATTCACGAACGAACATTTTCCAGTTTTCAGCAATATTTCCATCAAATATTAGTGAAGCGTTTCCCAAACTTTTTCGGCCACGGAACACTTACACTTTTTATCTCGCCTCGCGGAACACTAAAAATGAGAGGGTAAAATTGATAAAGAAAAACGGTGTAATGTAGCGGTTCCCAATGGGTTCGTCGTGGCGAGTTGCCAAACGCGACGCAAAAACTAACAGAATTATGTTGAACATACCAATAATATGATTGAATATTTTACATATTTCATTTATTGTAAATGTTTTATTGTTTCTCAATTTGAATGCTGTGTATATGAATCAACAAATTCATTTTACCTTTCTATATCGTTTACTTTCCATTACGTAGTGTTTGCCTCTATAATGTTACGTCTAATGGAGATAGACGTACTTTCTGCAACTTCGCGAGCTGCAGTTTATTGATCTGCTGAATCGAGTTTAGTGAACATGAGTAAATTTTTCAGCATTTCAAAGTAAAATCAGACAGAGATGACGGAAGAAGAGTTGACCATTTGCCTTTATTCTTAAGACCTACCTGTTTGCCTATAGCAAAACCAAAAGGATTGCTGTAAACTTGATAATGAACTTGACAGTCAAAAAGCTAGGCCGACGGTTAACGAATATGCCCCTACTCTATCTTAGGATTGAACGGTCAGTTGGGCAACAACTTCACGATCCCTAGATCGCCATGGCGACCCATTTAGACGTATTTTTGATTTATTTTCCACGGAACACTCGGAAGACGCTCGCGGAACACAGTTTGGGAAACGCTGTATTAGAGGATCTGGTCTGTTCAATGATGAATCAGCCATCTTTAAATAAATTGCTCGCTGACGCGATTTTTAGAATTTAACAAGCAACTTTAATTCAATCCCGATTCTGACACCATGTTTGTTTGTGGGTATGGATATAACATAGACATCAAAGCACTTAGCAGAATGCAGTACAAGCAAGAAATAGCGTAAGCAGGCAAGGGCAAAGGTGACAATAGGCCGCGAGCCGAGGCCATTTATCTTTCAGTTTCGTAGCGCACATAAGGTAACTACCTGAAAATGATTTTAAAATGTTCCTTAGAAATTTAGTAACAAATATTGCCTTGTTCCCACTTACAAAAGTTGCACGTTTTACAGAAAAGACGCTTTTACTACAATAAATATGTGTTACCATCTGTCCTATTTTCTCTGCTTTTCCAGTATCACGGGCCAATGAACGCAGACTTCTGCATGACGTGACAAACAAACTAGTCAGCTGTAGGTGAATCCCCAGTGGTCGGATGAATATCAGATGTACTACTACTGCTCGCTTTTGCGTTGAGTTGCCTTTCCATAGTTTTTTTTTTCAGTTATCATTAGTTCAGTTATTCTAGGGAGGTGTTGAAAAGTATAAGTAAGATATTAAACACTTGTATATCCTGTAACAAATTTGCAATTTGTCACTTTAAATCATCGAATATTACCACAATTAATCTTAAAACCTTGACTTTTGACTTAGCACCTGTAAATTTCAACGAGCGTAAAATGATTCATACTCATGAGACAAATGAAATCATTGCTATTTTTAGACATGAAACTAGGTCATTTCATAACTTTACAAGATAATTGACCTAAATAACCATGCTGATGAAATAAGAAATTATCGTGCGCATCCAAAATTCCTCCTATCAAAAACGAGACAAACTTGAATTTGATTGGTCAAGAAAAACCCTCTTCCCGGAAAAGTAATAAATAAAGATAGACAAATTATCCTCTAAATTGAGAAACCCCCAATTCCATATAAATAGACTTATCGGAACAAAGAAGTTAGAGAGAGAGGAGTGGTGAACGGTAGGAGAAAGGTTAGCTGTTCTGGCTAATCCAGCTGTTATCTTATGGACAATACTATTTAAGGTACAATTATAATTATGCTTTACCTTAGGAACAATGCTATTTAGGGTGTAAATTGTATTTTATGCTTTAAGTCGTGTTTTATAATTTCTTGTTAATGTAAATTGTAATGGTTTAAAGTACGGAGCAATAAAATAACATTAAAGTAAAGATATTGAGTCGATCTGTTATATAAAATTAACAGGAACTCCCAATTGAGCTCGTATAACTTCTGATTAATATAATTGTTTTATATCGGAGTCTAGACAGTCGGAGCGCAATATATACCGAAGTAGTAAATCAATCAACTGACGGAGAAGATAATCAAAAAGAAGCTTTTGGCGACAATCCTTACCATAAATAGCAATTTTAGTTGAGCACTAGCTCATAAGACTTTGTTAAACATATATTTACGGTTAAACAGGT